CACAGATCTGGACGAGCTTCATCGCATTGCCGAAGCTGCAGCTCGGACGGCTGGCGTTATGGCTTACTGGATCGCATGCAGCTGTATGCGTGATGATAATGACCAGTCAGAAGACGTCTACAGGATCAGTGACGTCGTCCGCGGCGCCCATTCCCTAGTGGTTATTATCGGCCCTCCTGTTGCTACTCGCGACTCTCACCCAGATGCAGGGGAAATGCTTCGAAACTTGGGTTCTCGGATGTGGACCTTCCCGGAGGTCCTCCTCAGTCCATCAAATCGTCCTATTTCACTTTACATGCGCGGATGTGATACGAATCCGTTCAGGAGCCTGTCTAAACGAAACTTCGCTATTGAGGCCTGGGGAGACGCTCCTGTCTCAAGGCAGCTAATCGATCACTATGAGGGCTCGATCATACTTAGCCCTCTCGAACTAGTTTCCATTGCCTTGCAATGCTTTCCTAATCGTGACACTACAATGTTCTACCAAGGGGACCGCTCATACGCCCTGATGGGACTGTTAAGACGTCGTCCAAGGGTGGATGAGAGTGACTCAGAGTTTCAGGCATTCTGCCGACTCTCCTTGGCCAATGATAGCAACCAACTGATTGAGCGGTTGATATGTATGCTCCCTCGAGACATGGACCTACCATGGTATAGGGTTGAGGATTATTGGAACAGCAATCTATGGGATGTACAGCCTATTTGCCAAGTGGTTGGCATTGGGGAGGACGACAGTGTGATTCTGAGCGGTGCTTTTGGGGCTCCGATCCGCTGGAAGTCCTTCGAGCCAGTCAACCTTTTGATGCGCAACACTCTTAAGCGATGGGTTGCTAGGGTTGTCCTTCGCAGTAGTCCCGCGTGGCTAATTATCGGAGCCCTCCTTCTAGCAGCGAGCAGGTCTAGAGGAGGAGACTTTGCTTTCGTCACGGCAGCCGGGTGGGTATTTGCAGGCCTATATGTTTTGGTCGTACTAGCCTCTCCGTATCTTATATGCTCTCTTTATGTTGGCAAGCCATGGGCCGCACAGCCCTGGCTATTTGGTTTCGAGGGCTACCTGGGTATAGATGAGATCGAAACCCTCATTTTTGGTCTCAACCTTGGCCGATTGAAATGGAGCCCATATTCCAGCGACCTCTCACTCCACGTGGACCAGAAAGGTGAGTGCGTTGGACAAGATCCCACTAGGAGAGAATCAACTGCGCAGTTTGTGTCCGCTTCTCGGCAGACTACGTATGAACAGCTCAAAGTGTTCACCCTAGTGGATACCAATACTTTGACTGTGACGCTGTTTCGGGCCGTTCGCCCACCAGTGGCAATGCTGCTCTGTGGCAGCGAAGGCGGGATGCAGCGAGCGTTGTTGTGCTCCTATGACTGGAAATCCCAGACCCTCTACCGTGAGAGTGTCCTCCGGGTGGAAACACTTGTACTGGAGAAAATGTCCCGTGTGGATCGGTTTCGACTTGGTTTGAAAAAGCGTGTTCCGGACACAGTAGAAGCATTTTGATACTGTTGAACTGACTTACCATTCCATATAGACAGTAGGTAAGCCTGGTCCATTTTGTAGTTCCCAGTAAGTCTCTCAACCGTTTGACTAGCCTAATATCCTGAATAGGCGATATTTCCTTTGAAATTCCGCCGAGAATGTTGAGCCTTACCATCACTCCGAGGAAGATTTTACTCCAAGGGGCTCTGCCGCCGGCTCATTACTCCGTACTCCTTTACTGAATTTATTTTATTACAGATATTGATGGTTTGGAGGCTTCCGATCATCGATAATCACCGTCAAGTATAATCTCTTCAGTGTCAGGCAGGAAGTGATTCCGCTAGCGAACAGATAAAAATAATCAGTGAAGGACGAATATTTGCTTTTTTCCATGTCTAGCGCGACATTTACTCTTTGCCGTCTATCAAGTCGTTTGCCATCGGATCCGGGAATCAGATGGGCCAGTTCTCCGGTCCATTTAAAGACTTCTCGAAGAACTATAATTGAAGTATACGTATCGCGGAAAGGATTTTGTCTTCTTGTCGCCTGGTGAACCGGTGGTGAGACTCCGTCGTCGGCCACTGCCTTGTCTGATGAGACACTGCAGCAGCTCTCCTCGGAATCACAGACTAGTCCTTCAGGACAAGAAGGAACAGAGTCTGAGTATGAGTCATGGATCCAATGCGAAGTACGGCGCTGGGTATCAGCTTGACCATTGCCATAGAGCAATCCAACGTCCTATATGTCTCTTTTGCGCCTGTGGGCTCATTTCGGCCATTTAGCAGTATGTATCCGAGGTAGCAAGTGGCATGCTATCAGAACAATGGTTGAGTCAATTAAGAGATAATCTGCTTTCAGTACTCCGTCACAATATCTTCGGCATGCTGGTGGACTGTAGAATGAGCGACGAGACGGTCATCCTTCAAGATGAGAAGCTTCATTATATTCTGGCCTCCATTGTAGATATTTTTTTATTTTTTATTTATTTTTTATTTTTGTTCCTATAAATCTTGCAGGTAGAAGATACATGCTAAAAAGGTATCTGGATAATCTCCCACAAGAACTAGTAGCAAGAGCTGGCAGAAGATGCTATCTGCTCAACACCGGATTCGAGGTCACTCAACTACCGCTCAGCCGCTCAGCCAAGGCGCTCCTCCCACACTGGTATGAAGTGACAAGCACGTTACATTCGCTATCAGCAGAGGTAAAGCGCTCGAATGCGTCCCGGGGGCTTCCATCAGTCATCGCGGCCCGGATAGCAGATACTTGACGCTGATTGCGTCAAGGAACATTTTCCACAATCCACATCACCCACCATTGGCCAGTGAATGAACAGGAGGAACTGTGGCCGCCGCCCCTCCCCTGCTGTAAAGAGACCCTCTTGATAAAAGAATACGCAGTAAGTATCTTAACTTGACTGCGTCCGTCATCGAATAGTATGCCTGCCCCAGGCGGGTTGTTGGAATCATGTTGCGTGTCCCCTCGCACGTCCGCCACCAAAAGTCTGACAAGCCATGAGGTGCTCATGAATGGTGGCAGAATAGCCCACTAGATCATACCTGCCGGCGTACAGCACTGGGACAGATTTGGCCGTGTCCCACCTGTAGAAGTCTGCCGACGGCGTGAGGAATTGGGTCCGACACTCGGAAGGGCATCGAGCTTGGACTCACTACCAGCCATGAGGGAAATCCAACCACTATGGGATTTGATCAAGTTGCAGTGTATTTGGAGTCGCTGGGATGAGTGGTGTGATGGTTTGGGAGGACACGCAAGGTGGCAGAGGGGACCAGAGGATATGCTTCTGTTCGCTAGTACGGTGTAATTGGGCCATTATGAAGATGTGATATGATGTCTTTGAATATATGATAACGTGGGAGCAGCGGATGTATGAATCTGAATACCAGCTGAAGGTGTTGGGTGCATGGGAGGTACCTTGCAGAAGATCATTGTTTGCATGTGGTCAACATGCCGTATTGGGGACGACGCCATGGGTGCTGAGCCACCATGTGTCTCATATATCTCCGCAGCTGCCAAAACCCTCCGTCCAGGTGGCGTTGTCGTTCTCTCTGGCTGTGTCTGGGAACAGTGCAGAAGAGAGGTGAGAACGCATCAGGCCAATATAGACGACAGAGGGTCCGTACTAGCCTCAAACTGTTCTGACCTCCTCCCCATTCTTCAGCTGCAGAAGGGCTATTCGGAGACTGGTTCAAGATGGGAACATCTCCTGCTGTGTCTGAACCACCAGGATGTCCTCCGTGTCATTGGTTGTCATATCAGCATGGTTCCCAGATTCGCAGAGGTCATGGAGTCACCAGTATTGGTATGGTTATTGATCATTGATCTGTAGGCTTGTGGCTCCTTCGGGACATTCAGTATGCGGCAGAAAGAAATTGCTCTTTGTTGCACCAGCCGGTGCTGGGCTTAGAGACGACAGGAGCAAGCCAAGGGGGGTCTGCTATTAAGACTCTATTTCGATAACTGGGCTGGTGTAGCGTGTCGACGCGGTGGCGCTCCAGAATGGTAGTTGAGTATCCTCGTCATGTTGCTGATCTTGAATCTGGTTGCTTACAGTCGTCTGTCTCTTCCCACGCCGGATTTTTGATGCGTCCCGAAAAGATGGCCTCTTGTAATCGCAACGCGGACTCGTGCAGTTCCGACATCGCCTTTAGAGGAGAAACGAGTGTCCTTGCTGCAGCTGACTGCGACTCTGAATGGAACCAGCTCCAGACGGTGTCGATCCATTAATAAGTATGCTGATTCTGATCGAGGTCTCATTGCCGTGCGGTGTGGGCAGTCTCGAATGAGGTATCCCGATTCAACGGTGCTCTTGCGGACTCCGGACATAGCCTGGTTTTCGAAGGATGATAACTCACGCCAATTGTTACTAGCAGCCGTTCATATCAACATAGCTTCCTTCGACTTTGTCCTGTGTTCCATGAAGAATACCATAACTCTGATTAAAGTAGTGGTTCAGGAGGAGGTCCAAGACGCCAGCGCCCTCATAATCCTTATCTCTCGCGGAGGTACATCTTTCTGAAGCACCATTAGATAGGCTTTGAATGCTTGGCAGTTTTCGACGAGCTTTTCTGCCTGAGCACGCGGAGACGCGTGAATACCGCCTGCTGTGCCTTGTTGAATTAAAACTAGTGGATCAGATCAGAGAAGTCCTCTGTGATGGTTTGGTACGCATCAACAGCTGGCAGACGGAGGAAGTTGTTCCCTAGCAGAATCGCCCAGGTTGATGCCTTCTGTGTACTTGGTTTCCAGCTCTCGCAGGGCAGTTATCTGATGGTAGAAAGGCTTGTCAGAGAAGATGACGTTCACTGACACCTCCTGCAATGCTTTTGCCGCGAGCCAATACCTGGCAGTCTGCATGGGTCCTAAAGCCCTAATTAGGATTACTAAGGGTTCTAGGTCATCATTAAAATGCACCTATTCCCGCTTCTCCTTGCCCCAGGGTCAAGTCAGGAGGATTGTGACGGCCTTCAGAGGTGTAATAGGCAGAGACACATACTAGTTAGTATGTTTGGCAATCAGTACTCTTGCTACGAAGTTTCGCGGCCGCTGCGACCCAATACGACTGGTTCGGATCCTCCTCTTCGTCCGAACCCAGCGCATTGGCCTCGGCCTCCTCGAGCAAGGTAATCTGCTGATCGACGCTGTCGACAAAGCGTAGCAAATCGCGACGGGCGACGCGGAGGGAAGGCAAGTGCTCGAAAGTAACAATACCAGCTGGCCAGCGTAACACGTCACCGTCGAGGGGGTTCCGTTTAGCTTCTTCGGAGGAGTCGGGGACTGTTCGTCACCTGCGCGGCGACGTTTGCCCTTAGAGTCCGAAGGAGTAGCTGCTTGCGAATAGGTCTCGGAAGGGAGAAGCGAAGCATTGCTGCGACGACGAAGGAAGGAGCCTATTTCAATTTCATCAGCTATGAACATCCGACGTGATAGAAGTTGGATAGCTCACCTTCTCCAGCACCTATTCTCTCCTCCGATCTCACCGAAGTTGTCTCAGATCCATCGTTTGAAAGCGTTCTGGCTCTTCAACATTGATGTTCACCATCATCACATCACCAGGTTGTAGGTCAAGACAGAACTCATACGGAAGCTCAAGAAACCTAACATAGTGACGGGATTCTGCCTGTAGTAACTTAACAACCTTTAGGGTTGCAACTGAGTCTGCAAGGGACTTCATCAGCCCCGCCACGTGCTTGTGCTTCCTGTAGCCAAGGAGAGCCATGTACTCCTTTTAACGGAGAAAGCTCAGCTTTGTTAAATGAGATTACGGCTGGACGACTTTCTTGATCAGAATAGTCCCCAATCTGGAGAAAGACCTTACTCAGGTGGCTTGGATACTAAGCACAAAGCGGATTGTTGTTTGCATCCTCAGATAGCTGTGTGTTGAGCTGGGAGTAGTCTATCCACTTCATAGCCGTATATGAAGAACCTCAGCTGCCTCTTGGCCAGGTGCTAGCAGATTTTAGTCATGAGCATGTCTTATTCACCAAAGGAATGGTGGCTAAAGAAGTTAGCAGCATACTGAGGGATGTTGGATTTCTTGGTCATAGTGACCACCCAGATGGAACAATCATCAATAGCGTCTTTAAGATGACTGTGCTGGGCGTAGAGGGATAGGTGGGTGATAATGAAGATACCAGACATGTGTAGCTGTGCACTGGAGGTTGGACTTTTAAATCGTCTAGCTCCTGTATCAGCAGGCCCAGGTGTATGTTTATCACTGCCACATCTAGCGGGGTGGGTTAAAAGCTCGAGACTGGTTGCAGGACGCGGAGCCTGCGGGATGGCCCAGCATTTAAGACCTCAATTCCCTCAAGACTGGCCTCTTTGCTATACTGTCCGGGTACGGTGAGCTCTGCAGCCCAGGGCCTGCATATGCTGGTCTCCGAAACTGGTTGGTGATCCTGCGCAGTTTGGAATCAATGCCTTTGAACATTGTCGGCGAATTTACCGCCAGACTGATCAAGACCTGCATTCTTGCATTCGGATCCGCTCTTGCCCCTTTGCATATCAGAAATTCCGCTTGTGTTCGGGGCCTTTGGTGATCACACCAGAAACCATAGTAACATAGTAGTTGTCTCTTGCAATGGCAGAAGCGAGGCAGATGTTGCCCACAGCCGCAAAGGTGCAACGGAGCGGTGGTTTGCCGAGAGACTTTTTGGATGAAGGAAATGCACAAAAGGACGAAGTCCTCCCCTTTATGATCATGGCCACTAAGAGTGATTCGCCATCATCAGGATCCTCGGACTTTAATCTCCCCCAACATCAGCGGGAACGACCACTGACCCATGCCCGCTCGCGGCCAGACAGGGGCCGCTGCCCTGTCCAGGCAGGAGGTCCACAACATCCATGCTGTCCAGCCGCCGTTCGAAAAATCCATGACAATTAAACCGGCGAAGACGGGATCGTTGAATCTTGATTGAGCGAGATATTGTGCCAAAGGACAATATGAGCCTCCTTCCGGTTGCAAGGAGTTGTGATCCATATTCTGAAAGATTTGCCGCTGGCGAGTATCTCGATAGGATACTTTCCCATAACATTGATGGCATATCGAATGTGCCTCATCTTCACATCGACTTGACACAAGAGCAGCCCTGTATTCTTGTTGGTGTAATGCGTATGACTTCTAAAGCGTTTAAGGTTGGGATATAGGGAATCACATTGTTAGATGCTGGGTGATTGTCATTGTGCGCTCGCTATCTTCAGACTCTCGCATGAAGAGTTCGTCTCTTCGGATGTGAGTCTGAACTCTGGAGATGTTTTGAACCTGTCACGAAGCACCAAGCCTGAAACCAGGCGCATCTTGACAGTATGTTTGTATTGCATTGACATAGTGCAAATGAGCCATTCTGTCCTTCATTGGTGTTATTCTTGACGTATACAGGGCAGTCTTCCAGGCCTGGGATTGTGTGTACTGCTGGAGAGACGAAAGGGATTTTCCAGGATGCTGTCGGTCGGTTTGTCCGGGTTTGGCAAGATCGCATCCTTCCACTGGAGGAGATGCTCATTGTTGAAGAACATTGACAGCAACTTCCAAAGGTCAGCCATAGATCTTGGGAGATCTGTAGGTTCCTTTTCCTTAATACGCATGGGGAAAATGTGACAAACTTGGACTTCCTGATGTCCAGTGATTACACACTCCCCCCATTTCTTTCTTTGGTGACTTTTTAGCTGATCTAGAACAGGGAATAGCATTGTCGACATCCGTCTGGTGGAGTGGGTAGACAGATCTGTATCTTGATCCAGAGCTTGCCTGCCACCTCGCCGAGTTGATCTGCTTCTGGCCGTGGACTGTTCATAGCAGGGCGACGAGGATCCTCGAGAGGAGACTCTTCCTGCTGGCAGATACCTGCTAAATAGTTAGTGACTGCATAGACTTCAAAGTAGGTGGGTGACCTTCGTGAAATCGTTTCTCTAAACAACACGCAGACTGCATGATCTTCAAGGCGTGATTGTTGCCAGTATTGTGAGCTCCTTGTCCGTTCGAAGCTGCATCTAGCATTTTCCCGCCAGGTTTCTGGTATGTGGAATAAAAGCCGGAGCCACACCGGCGATCATCCATATAACGGGCAAGTTGTCCCGAGAAAAAAGGCTATGCGACAGGCATATGCAAGCGATGAAGTTTCTTTGTCCTAGTTTGTATCTTAACAAGTGCTCTGAGTGTGCTGCCAGTATAGAAAGAGGAGCAACTGGGAGGGTTTTGGAAATCAGGATACACATACCTAGTCCTTCACAGCGCTCGGATCTGTCCGCTGTGTAGGGCGTTCGAATGTGTAAGTGTAGGGTATAATGTGTGCCACCTCTAGACTGCATGGGCCTAATTAGCTGACCATTCAATATGCAGGTATTGCTGTGCCTCGTAAGGTATTTTGATTATTGACAAAGAAGGATATGTAGAAGCTGTATGCTTACTCTGGATGTGCGGCCTTTTTGGTTCTCCCCTTTCGCTCACGACGGAACAAGCCCGAGAGGTCTTTTGGGCGCCGTCTGGGTTCGTTAGAAGCTAACGACCAAACCCCGTATTGTTCGCGGGTTCTGTCGTGAGGGAAAGGGAGGACATGCGACGTCGTCGAGTAACTATAAAGAAAGTGTTATTATAGGGTTTGATCTCAAGGCTGGGAGGAGAGGGCCCCCTGCTAAAAATGACCCCAGTCTGGCCCTCATTCGGGCTTCTAATGGTTTTATCATCGCCAGGAAAGGGACTACTCACGATGATGACTCGGAGGCCCAAGCATGCAGGGAGCATACCCGTTGCGCGGTACGCTCGCTCCTGGAGACACCGGTAGCAGTAGTGGGGCCAGGCGCAGAGTAGCAGACGCGGGAGAAGGCCGCACGACAACAGCAAGGGCACCACCCTGTTCATCAATGAGGCAACACCGGCCAGCCAGCGTTTAAGTTGAGACGAAGAGCCTGCTGGCAAACAGAAAACTGTATGGCGCCCAGCCATTCATCACCTGTTCTCCGGTCGAGAGGCGCATGGAAATCGTCCCAAAAATTCGCTGTTTGTGCTGGCTGGTCTGTTGCGTAGAAGCTCTGCACCCCTGAAGCCACTCCATGTGAACTGGTCGGGGTCCTCGCTGTTTGCCAGGCGCTCGAATCGAGAATAATAGGCCGGAGGCTCATTGGCTGGCGTTATAATCTGGAGCCATCCATCAAGATCTAGAAGGCCGCTGACTGATACCACGGAGGTAACGAAAGACGCAAGCCAGGATTCATAACCAGTTTGGTGGCACTGATTGGAAGGCCACCGTGCTAACTCAGTCAGCAATGTCGCCGCAACTGACAAGACTCAACAAGTGCTCAACAATAACATACTGATAGTCGAAGGGGCCCCAAGAACCGTTCATACCAAGACGGTAAGAACAGAGCCCCATCTTTGAACTCCTGTTTACCGGCGCCATCTCGGCTCTCCAGGAAGTCCACCTTTAAATGTAATCATTCGAGTCACGGAAAATCTCTTGCCTCGAGAAGAAAAAGGGCTTCCAAAAGCCCGAGAATTTCTGGGGCGAATACCTGTATGAGCGCCCAGAATGTTGCCGAAATGGTATTCTGACCAAGCGCAGGTGCCAGCTTTGGGACAGCAGTTTCACTCTATATCGCAGTTAGTCATGGACTAGCGAGGCCAGCAAACGCAAACTTACCCGTAAAAAGAGCCGACAGAAACCCATAATAGCGCCGAAAGGCGCAGCAAGGCCACTGGCCAGAGCCGGGGGCGGGGCTTTCGACATTCTTAGTTGAATCCAAGCTATGGAGTTTCAGCTCTTTGTTGTTCAGCGATGCTGTTTTCTCGCACTCAGGCTCCATGTGTTTTGGGTTCTCAACGGTGACATCGGAACGAAGGTAGTTGTTGGCATTCTTCAGCGCCACTGCCGAAGCATCGTCGAGGTACTCGGTGATCATTAGGCGCAAGTCTGTTGCGTGACGGAAGGCCATTAGAGATCTGGCGGATGTCATGATGCCAGTAGCTTCGACACTCTGTTGTCTCTCTAGACCGGCCAGTCTGGCGAACGTAGTATTGTGTCTGATGTCTGATTCTAGAAGGCAACTTTCACGAAGTCTAACAAAGAACAAGAACTTAGTAACCCTGAAGTCTAACGCAAGCCGTATGAGAAGTAGGTTGCTTGCTGCGCGTTAAGAGGGTGTGAATAACAGTGTCACCGACCAAATCTCCTACGGCAGTTCACTCCATGTTGACTTAGCAGCCTGGTGGTATAGGAGCCACCCTTGCCATAAACAGGTTGACACAAGCATTCTGTTTTTCCGAGCAAAGTCCTCAATGATTCCGCCACGGATGCAGATCGATTCAAGGCGATTGAAACATGGGTCATCAGGTGTGCATTTCTGGGGATCGTTGGACGCTCAAATACATCTGCTGGGTTCTGTTAGTAGGACATGGCGATGTAGGGAATCAGGATAACCCCGTACTTGTTGATGCTCTGTCAGTCCGGGAATAGCTGCTGGATGAGATCGTCCATCGTCTGAGCCAAGTGATCAACAACAAAGAGATCAGCAACACAGAGATCGGTTCCTGTATCAACAGATCCCATTCTTGCGCACAGAGGGCATGGGGCTACCGCATGATAGACGGGCGTAGTTTTGTCCTTGTGTTCAGACAAGCCTCTTCCCACTTCTTGTCGAGGCCGAATACCTCCAAGTAGCGCAAACATCATGTAAAAACCCAGCCTCTTTCGTGAGTTTGTATAAGGCCCAGCGAAGCGTTGTTGCACTGTTCCAGGTTAACAATATTGTACAGCAGAATGCAGGAGACTGACCTGTGTTTGTGAGCCGAGATTTTGCTCTCGCCAGTTAAATTGTACCTCTCTCATCCAGTGACTATGGCATTCGTGTGCCATACTGGTCCTATCATTCTGAGTGAATTTGACGACGAGAGCGACTTTGACATATGGATGACCCCCAATCATCCGGAGATGCATATCCTCCATAATGCGTTTATGAGTCTCTGACCAGCCAGCCTCGATAACGGCGAGTGCCGCATGGAACTCATAGACTTGAGGAGGCAAGGAAGAGGCTGAGTAGGTAACTTCATTCTTGGCTTTGTCCCATGGAGGTGCGAAAGGTCGAGACAAAATGTAGGGGACACCTGCAGGAAACATATAAGCGAAAGAATCTGGGGAGAGAATCATCCATAAGGAGGCATCTCGAAGGTCTCAGACGAACTCCTGTCCGAGAAGTAGAGGAGTCCGGGAGATCAACCTGCGCATACCCAGTTGCAATCATCAACATTGATTCTTTCAAAATTGTTCATTTGAGACCTGCGATGCGGAAATGGTGTCTGTATGCAGGGCCCCAGTTCAACCTCGCACTCTTGATCACACTGGCTGCCAACATCTAAGGGTAGTTGTTCAGTGTTTGCCAGGATTTTTCCCACGCCCCGAGCAGGTCCAGCATGTCTGCCAAAGACCAGAAGTCGACGTCCCTGAACTGGGGTTTACTTAGTTGAAACTTGGCGATATACTGGCACGGCCAGTCTGGATGCAAATATTCTTGACATGTTGTCGAGGCCGCAAGGACGCATGCACTCGACGGCATTATTGCCAGATATCCGCACATTTCAAGTGCACGGTTATACACTTGGTAGTAATAGGTCCGGTTATTACTACTAAGTAGTAATAGCTGCGTCATCTGCTTCATCAGCTTCCTCGGACGGAAAGCTCAGAAAACCGAAAAACTGAACACCAAACTCCTAGAAAAACCGAGAAAACACCCCTTAATCATCATCCTTCACAATCTCATGCTCAGCTAACAACCAGTCAGTAGACGCTGAAAGGTCGGTTTCCAGAGAAATATATGATGTACATACCAAGTGGGCCAGCATGTTTGGCCTCCTGCGAGCACTCTTGCGTGCCCCATCAACATGCGTATTCTCAATATTCAACATCTGAAAAGACGAGATATTAGACCATAATTCATAAAATCACTGAGAATAGTTCCCCAAAATCTTAGTTTATCAGGGAGGTATTGCATATACCTTATCAACTGAGAATTCTCCGAGGACAATCTCGAAAAAAACAAAAAGACAGTTTGCTGAGCGTGCTCGGCATTTCCAGTTTTAGACAGTTCGCCTAATTCTCGGTTTTACTGGGAAAATCAGTAAAAAGACCCCCAGTTTCCATGAAATGATAAGGAATTTCTTACCTCATCAAAAAGACCTTTTAGAACCAACCACTGCTCCAGCATTGCCAGCTTTTAAAGTCAGAAAGGTAGGTAAAACCGAGGTTCGCACAGTCGGTGTTCGGAAAGCAGGGGAAACCCAAGTACATACATCGTACGGACAACCACAGGGGAGGAGCTTGCGACCATCATCAGTATGTGTCTTGACGGTACCAGGCATTCTCTGAAAGGCCGAGAATTAATGAGTAGAATGAAGTAGAAATGAGAAAAATGAGTATAGATCAGGTTTCATACCGCATTCGAACTCTTGCATGTAGGGTCGCCGTGAGGAACCAAACGCTGTGCGCTTCCAGCCTGGCAACTGCTTGATGGAATCTGGCCTGGTTCGTTTTGACCACGTTGTCTGTGCCGTAGCAGGCCGCATGCTTTATCAAATGAGCAGGTTTCTCGCAGACTGGAAGGAGATATCAAACGGAATGATTACCTCCTTGGCATTGCCGCTGCCTTTGCCTCTCCCTTTCCAGGTTCCTGGATTGACCGGCATCAGATACTGGAAAACAACTGCCGATTCAAATTGCGGTAGCAGTAACCAGCAAGTATGCACAGAAAAATCAGCAAGATGTGGTAGAACTGGAAACATGAGCAAGTAGGTCGTGGTGAAGCAAATGAAGAAGAGAGGTGGGTTGGAGAGATGAAAACTGGTTGCCAAAGTGGGTGCAGCATGTAGTAGTGAATGAAATACTGGAAAATAGATGAATACAGTGAATGGACGACCCAGTGGGAAGTGAATTGGTCTATTAGTGAAGGTACACAGTTCGAAGGACAATATGATAAGGACGAACGAATGTATACAGTTTTGTGGTTGATCATTGCTTGAGAAGATTTAGTAGATATTTATGTTGCACCTTGCCAGAGCTCTAGTAAGATAAAAACCTGTTGCAAAGAAAGTCTGCAGGGAGCAATCTATGCAATGCTGCCTCCTGCGACTTCCCTTACCCAAACGAGAAGACATGAAGCTATCCGAAGCATGGCTGCTTGCAACAAGCAGCTTATTCTCCCAGAATAACTGCTACCTACAAACAACTACCATTCTCAAGACAATTTGGCTGAAGGTACTCCTGAGTTGTCGTGTCTCATTGTCAGTAGCCGTTCATCACACGGATATCGTCAACCCTTAGTATACGGTAGCTGTCCACTTGCACTCAGAATGCCTCTAAAATCTAAATAAACATGTTTACATGATATCTAAGAGTGTTTGGGTTGATCTTCTCGTTTCTGTTATACACTCTATTTGCGATCAATGTGATTGGGTGAGGACCGCGCCCTTTGGACGACATTTGATCCACCGATCCGAAATACCACCTCGGGCTGCACCATGAATGCTCTCAACTTCAATTTCTCTTCATCAAGGCAGTAAATTAAGGTAAAACAAGATGCATCGATCGAGCAGTGTAGACACCTACGAAATAGCGCCAGTACACCATGACCAACCCACCAATCCGTTGGCAGAGCCGGACGGAGATATGCAAACGGAAGGCAGAGTCAGCTGGGCCTATCCAGAAGGAGGCTGGGAAGCATGGACTTGTCTCTTGGGCTCATCACTGATGATGTTTCCATCCTTTGGCTTTCAAACTGCAGGTATCCATCTCCGTTTCCATCTTAAGGCCCACGGCTACTGACAGACGACAGTCGGATCGGTCCAGGACTACATCAGCACCAACCAGCTGGCAACGTACAGCGTCCGGGATGTGGGCTGGATTACTGCCATTCTTGTCTTTCTGACTCTGTTCCTTGGAGTCCAGGTCGGACCTCTGTTTGATCGATACGGACCGCGGATTCTATTGGTGGGGGGCTCCCTCGCGAACATTGCCTCCTATCTTCTGCTGGCGCAATGTAGAGAGTACTGGCAATTTGTGCTCTACCTGAGCATATTAGGAGGCATCTCATCTGCGGTCATTACAACCGTCTCCATCGCCGTACTGAGCCACTGGTTTAATCGTCGCCGCGCGCTCGCCTCGGGAATCTGCATGGGTGGTTCCTCCGCTGGAGGGGCAATCATCCCTCTGCTGCTGCGCAAACTCTTCCCGCAGCTGGGGTGGACATGGGCTATCCGGACGATTGCATTCATGGCGATTGCCTGCTACACGGCTGGCATCATCTTGGTCAAAGGACGACTCCCCACGGGTCATCGCAGCCGCGCTACTGTTGATTTTGGGGCTTTCAGGTCTCCACGGCTATGCTTCCTCGCGGCGGCGGTCTTTTCGTTTGAGTTTATCATCTTTGGCTGCGCAGCGCTGCTACCCACTTACGTCCGTTATGCTGGTTTCCCTCTTGACGTGCAATTCTACTCTCTCACACTCCTCAACAGCATGAGCTTTTTGGGACGCGTGCTTCCCGGTCTAGCAGCCGATCAATTGGGCCGGTTCAACATTCTTCTGGCGCTGGTCGTCATGACGCTATTGGTAATGAGCACCGTGTGGCTCCCGTTTGGCTCTCGCGGTCAAGCTACATTGTATGCCGTCGTCGCTATTTTTGGCTTTGGCTCTGGTGGGTGGCTGTCCTTGGCGCCTGTATGTGCAGGCCAGCTGTGTCGGACTGAGGAATACGGGCGATTCTACGGGACCATCTACAGTGTTGCGGCTTTTGGGGTGTTGTTGACGGTTCCTGTTGGAGGAGAGCTGCTTCAGTCGACTACGCCGCAGGTGCTGATTGGTTTCTACTCGGCAGTTCTCATGGTGGGACTGGTGAGTGTAGTCATGACTCGATGGGCCTTGTTGGATTGGAGGTGGAAGTGGAGGGTCAAGCTGTAGCTGCTTGGTCCGAAGGACCGTGAAGATTAATCGATTGATATCAGTTGATAGTAAATACTAGGCTGCTCAGCGAGTATTTCTGTCATCTTGGCAACAATTGTCCGGCCAACTCAAGAGCATATCCAGGCAACATGATTGAGGGGACGCTTGAAACAAGTATTACAATAAGTCCTGTGATTTTGGTTCGTCACTACTATCACGTTATTCGTGAAAGAATATACACTGGGTGTCTCACGAGACCTCGGTTGTTGGAGTACGTTGTCCCGCCGTCGTCTTGTCATATATCCGCTACTCGTCTTCCTCCATACACAAACATAAGTTCCGGATGCGACAAAATGCAGGTACTTTGGTAGTCTAGAGCGTGGAACATCAACCAAAGTCCTCAGTTAAGAAGTGATGATGCCTGTCATGTGAATGTCATATGAATGTATTGAGGGGAAAGAAGAATGTCGACTGGCGGCCTTCCGAAACAGGATAATTTAGCGAGTCATATCATCACAAGTATATCAAGACTGCCTAGCTACGTCAGAACTTTTTTTGACTCATTTGCAAGCTAAAGTAGACAAGGTTTATAAGCCGAGTGGCTCAGAGATTCTAGGCTCCAACATGACCCATTGATAATTGGTGGACAAGGCTCACCCGCTTGCTGCCTACAGCACTCCACTAGTACTATTCCGAGTATATATTGAGTGCCAGCTCCACCTGTTCAATCACATTATCAACCAACAAGATTAGAACCAAAATGACAGTCACATATCTCTGCGGGTGTAGCTACTTCACCCACCCTCAAGCAAAGCCAGTCTACCTACCCCGTATCGGCATCAAAGCCCACGCGACTATCCTCTCGTCCGTTTGGAGAACAGTGCTCACCCAGACATACACAAACCCATCCAAGAACCTCCTCGAAGAAGTCTCATATACCTTCCCGCTCTACGATGGCGTCAGTGTAGTAAGTTTCGACTGCCTGATCGGCGACCGCACCCTGCACAGCCGGGTCAAGCCACGCAAGCAAGCCAAGGCGGAATACGACGATGCCGTCTCAAAGGGCGAGTCCGCGGCGCTGATGGCGCATTCGCTGAGTGCCTCGGACGTGTTCTCCATTCGACTCGGAAATGTTGGGCCGGGTGAGAAGGTTGTAGTAGAGATTACCCTTGTCGGGGAGCTGAAGCAGGATGCGCAGAGTGATGCCGTGCGGTATACGCTGCCTAATTCCATTGCGCCGCGGTATGGCTATCAGGCGGAGGATATGAACATGCCGCCTGAGGCAGATGCGGATGGTATTTCTATTACTGTGGATGCGCAGATGGAGAGTGCGGCGATTATCCGGGAGATCCAGTCGACGAGTCATTCGCTGAGTGTGGCGCTGGGACGGGTGTCGGTGTCGGGGCCCAGTGGGACTGACAAGGCATTCAATCCGGCGCAGGCATCTGCACGTGTCAATCTTAAGGAAGATCGGACGGCCCTGTCTCGCGACTTTGTCCTCCTTGTCAAGGCAGATGGACTCGACATGCCCCGTGCGCTGCTGGAGACGCACCCGACCATCCCTGACCAACGGGCAATCATGACGACTCTTGTCCCGAAATTTGGCCTTGAGCAAATCAAACCTGAGATTATCTTTGTGATCGATCGCAGTGGAAGTATGATGGACAAAATTGACACTCTCAAGTCGGCCCTCAGAGTCTTTCTTAAGAGTCTCCCGGTGGGAGTGTGTTTTAATATCTGCTCGTTCGGCAGCTCCTACTCCTTTTTGTGGAAGCAGAGTCTTCTCTACAATGCCGAGAGTCTCCAGGAAGCTCTGAGCTTTGTCGACGTCGTCCGTGCAGATATGGGCGGAACGGAGATGCAGGAGGCTGTCGAGGCTACGGTCCACAGTCGGCTAAAGGACAAGGAATTGGAGGTCTTGATATTGACGGATGGGCAAATCTGGAACCAAGAGGCACTCTTCAAGTTCACCCGTGAGACGGCTGCTGATAATAGTGCACGGTTCTTCTCGCTGGGAATTGGCAATGGAGCGTCGCATTCGCTCGTTGAGGGGATTGCGCGAGCTGGGAATGGCTTCTCGCAGGTGGTCGTGAACTACGAAGAGCTGGACAGGAAGGTGGTGCGCATGCTCAAGGGAGCGCTGACACCACATATCTCCGACTACAAGCTGGAGGTCGAGTACGATGATAGTGGGGAGGATTTCGAGGTCGTACTCCCGGAGCGGCCGAAGGCCGTGGCTGTCGATGAGAGGGAAACGAAGCAGCAGCCAATTTCTCTCTTTGACGCAGACTACAAGGAGGACGAGCAGAAGACGGACGGAGAACCCCTGCCGGTCTTTACACCTCCCCAAGCCATCCAAGCACCATACAATATCCCACCTCTCTACCCTTTCATTAGAACCACAGCATACCTCCTCCTGGGCCCAGCCATGCAAAATCCCAAAGCCGTCATTTTCCACGCCACTTCAAAGGAAGGCCCGCTCGTCCTGCGCATTCCCATCGATGATATCGGCATGGGAGAGACAATCCACCAACTCGCCGTCCGAAAAGCCATGATCGAGCTCGAGGAAGGACACGGCTGGCTCGCCGCCGCAACCAGGAGCGGAAACTCATTCAACAATCTCCATCCCGCCTCAAAAGAGCGCATCATCGCTCGCGAATGCGAGAAACTCGGAACCCAGTTCCAAGTAACAGGCAAGCACTGCTCGTTCATCGCCCTAGAGAAAGACAGCACCTCGGACCAGGAGAAAGAGAAGGATATTGCCGGCCTGCCTACCTCTGAGACTACTGGAGAAGAAAGTACCGTCTACCAGGTTAGTGCAGCAGCGCCCGGCCCTGCTCGCGCCAGGTGCAGGAGACTAGCCTCAAAAGCGCATAGGAAGGTCCTGCCACCCTCGCCCCCGTCACAAGGGACGCGGTTCAGTGCACGTCTACGGGCAATGGATGCCCCACGACCGTCCTCAAATTCAGAGCAGCGCTGGGCTAAGAGTTCAACGGCAAGCGCAGTCCCAGAGTCGTTATTCGGTGCGCCTGGAGTTGCAAGATCCATAGATACGAGGGTGTCACCACCTCCACCCCCGGCTCCAGGGACTGAATCTTACTATGCTGCCCTGATGGCGGAGGCGGCCTCTCTCCCCGCCGACTTCTCGGACGATATGATGGAGATAGAAGACGCAGTCTCTGATGGCTCGGTCGGGTATTCCCCCGCGTCTCCTATCTTGTCTTCTAACAACCTTAATGAGACGGCCGGGGCCGCAAGCCAAGTCCACAGAATAATTGCCCTGCAGTCCTTCGAGGGATACTGGACTTGGTCAGCGGAGCTGATGAACGCCTTAGGGCTGGATGAGCGGGATATCCGAGCCCGGCTGATGCAACTATTTCAAAAGGACAGCAGAGGGTCTAATCTGACGGTCATTGCGACCATGCTGGTAATGGCGTATCTCTCCATTCACTGTGCGGCAGATCGGTCAGTCTGGGAACTGGTGTACGACAAGGCTGAGGGGTGGAAGAGGCAGAAGATTGTGGAGATGGGGGACGAGGGAAATGTTCTCAAAGCGAAGGAGCCGGAGATCAGTGCCTTGGTATGAGATTATGATTTGTGATGCTCGTTGGCGTTAGGACTCTGCTTTAGGTTTCTCTGTAGTTCAAATTTTTGATATGCCAAATGAGTTACCGCAATTGAAGGGTTCCAATCCTCGCAGTTATGAGGTGACCGACGCTTTTGGCAACAAGGAATTTTTGTCAGAATTTCCCTTTTAGCTGCAACTGGCCTCATTAGTTAGATAGGTTTACGAGTATCACTCTACCTTTGATCTTAGGGCATAATTAGCTTGGTATACAGGTCGTTCTTTGAACTAGAATTCCCTCGCAGTGATATCCCCCGCTGCTAGAATCATTGCCATCCATAGATAAAGAGATGGTATCGGTTAGCCTACCTTGTAAAGGAGTAAAAGGAGAGTAGATCCTGTGTCTCTTCATTGGACAGCTCATCAAAGGGAATGTCCGCTTTGAGTTCTTCATTTCTTCTAGGAATGTGTTTGCTGTCTCTGATCCATATTCACTGTCTTTGTAATTCACTTTCTAAGAGAGGCATTGCTTTCTAGCATTCACTGGATTTCATTCACTACTTTCCATTCAATCATATGGAGAATGGCTCTGTATAAGTCTGCAGCCAACCCCTTCAGATACCTTCTTCTCCTACTACCTCATCATCTGCCTTCCGTCAACCTGGTATACAGAAACATGCGATTTATCCATACGTCTACACATAACCGATTCGATTCCTTACTATCACTAAGGACTACGCAGTAAAGCTGATCACCTCCCCAGGAAGGCCTCAAACATGGTACTGATTCAGTATGGTTCATTAGACAGATACTTATAAGCAAGCCAGTCTCATGATGCAGAATCTGGATAGCTGTGTCTGCTAGAGAGGTAGTAGCCACTGGTGGAGTGGCGAACTCGATCCCAGAAGCACACGCGGCCTCATATATACTCGCCATTTTCATGGAGATGCTGGGGATGTACGCCACCATGTTGAACAACTCATTCCCTTGGCGAAGACGACGCCGTGAAGCTCCTTGGCAGACATTCAAGTCCCTCCCACCAGATGGGAGTGCTAACCTGATCGAAGACATAATTGAGGCAGAGGAAAGCAATACATTGAGCCAACTCTCTCAGAGCGTTGTACAGGCCTCTCAAACCAATGAAGGTTGCCGGTCCAGTTGATAGACCAGACGAGGTACAACCATCGCCAGTTCGTCGCAATACTCAACCAGAAACAAGCGCTTACCGCAGTCAATCTAGTACTTAATTGATAATTGAACCATATAGATGCATTCTGTCAATGATCAGACTCACCGCAAGGAAAAAAATCAACTCCATGAGGCGACTCTGGCATCGGGTCCTGAGGACAAGGAGAACCGCGTCCAGGTTCCGCGAACTAAATCACGCGTTACTGTCAGTGAAGATAATTTATCAGTCAGTTTCTGTCAATCTGAGGTCCGCTGCAGAAATGAGCGAGTTCTGATACTACCTTCACTCTGCGAAGGAAAGATCATGGACAGTAAGAAGACAATGCCCAGAGGCCTGATGACTGGTACTACCCAATGTGTCATGCTTGTAAGAAGCACCCGCGGGAGAAAGACAATATATCCTTCGGCGGGCCTACGCAGACACACGTTACCGTATCCCAGAGACGGGACTACCTGAACACCGGGTGCTGGCTGGGACATGTCCAGGTGGACGTTCAGAGTTTGAATTGACGCAGTCCAACTCCTCAATTGCGATGAGAATCAATTCCTCGGTTTCCCGGTTCTCTGGAAAACCCCGCTTGAAGGCCGCCGCCGTGGTTGGCAACTTGAATGATTGGCTACATATCCTGATCTATGGCTTTGATTATGGCTGTCGTATCGGTCAGTGGTCTTCTAGATCTTGGTAAATCGCTACAGATTGATCGCAAAGAGAGGGCCCCGGAGAATGAGTTGGATGGAGACTCCAATGAGGGGCTTGACTACAGTGTATTTCACACAGACCTGTGTTGCCAGGCTGTGTCTTCCTGGCCAATCGTCTCCTACGTCCTCTATCACCAATATCGCGGCGACCAGCTCAAGGCTAACCCCGTCATCCCAACCACTGGTTCTCTTCAATATGAACAAGTCAAGGAATGAACCCTGCCTCTACTGCCAGCATTGAAAAATGCGCCCAAGTCCCGGCGGCTGAAATCCTAGCTTCTTAGTAGGTACCTGGTTGTCTCAGAAGAGTCTGAACTCCAGGCCTCTAGCGACAAGCCACATTGTCTTGAACCAAATGGAACTATTGCAACTATCGCTAGCCTAGGAATATCATTATCCTTGTCGTATTTGCTCATGTCTATAAACCTTTGGCCCGTTTTGATCACCCATATCAATCACCGCGGCACTCGGATGACCACATGTACTCGCAGGTGGAATTGACGTCCCTAGCGACAAAGGATGAACAGCTACAGGCACAGAAAGGAAGGAAACAAGTTCGCAATACTTGTGAGGGCGACGACTGAGAAATAAATCCTCGACGAAACACGGACGTAGCTGGCTTGGATGAGAATACCTCGATTTGAACCAAGCGGACAGTGTGGTTTTACGTGCCCCGCGTTGATGCACAGGGATAATATGGGATTCAATGTCACTACCGGTTGTCACTACCGGCCAGGGGGTAGCTCGGGGACTTATGAAGGGCAAGAGAAACTACGGTATATTCTCCATGACCTTCCTCTTATCCGGCCTCACACTGTGCTGAATTATGCTAGTTAGACAAAGAGGAATACAATTAATGGAAGAGCAAGGTACTGAGTAACCATCCATTCGTTTGCCATCAAGTAAACTACTATACTCCAATTGTAAATCCGGATTGATTGACTTAGCGACTACTACTCAAGTGTGTCATCAGAGAATCAGTCCAGACAATTGCTGCGAAGCTCAGCAATTAGAGTTGGTCTGCGTGAGGAGACCAAGCTTCCAAGGAAGCAAGTTGTAATCTCCGCTTGCCGACGGGCTCAATCCCTGATACAGATACCGCAGCTTGCAAGGACTGATCGTCATAGTCTGATCAGTCTGGGTGCGAATTACTTCCCCGTGACTGATACTCTTTGTCCATGGCGTGCCGCTAAAGGCAACGTTGTTCGAGCGCGCAAAGGGATTAGACTCGGTGTTGGCGAGGCCCTTCCACGATCCTGCCAGACTGTTGGCAGTCCAGGAGCGGAAGTACCGCTGTCCATCGCTGCCAATCGCCTCCACGAGGAGAAGATACTCCCCGTTCCCAGTGTGGTAGACGTTTGACGCCTCGAACAGAGCGTTCTTGTTGGAGTCGGACATGGCAATCACTGTATTGCCCATGCCGTTGGGGAAGTTGGCCAGGGAGGTCTGCGAGCGGTACAGATGGCCGTTGTCGTCTGAGGAAAACAGGTAGCAGTTGCTTGAATCGCAGATAGTCCACATATCGACCCAGTTGCCGTTGCCCTTATTCTGGGCGATGATGCTGGGCATGCTGCTGAAGAAATTCTTTGGTTTGCTCCATCCGGCTGGGTTGGCAATGTTCGGATTAGTCGAATAAGCTGCGTTGCCGTTCTGGAAGACCAGGTACCAGAGGTTGTGTGGCTTGAAGAAGAAGACCTGCGGCGCGGCGCGATAGCCTGAGCCAATCGGGGTCTGGTCAAGATAGTGGAAAGTGGCCTTGTTGGCCTGGCTGAAGTCCTTGAAGTTGAAGTAGACGAGGTTGTAGCCGGATTTCACGGCCGTGCTGGCGAAGACGTGATACGTCCCGTCCACTTCGACGATGGAGGGATCTTTGATAGCTGCGATGTTGCGGCCATCGTTCTTAGGGTCGACCAGAGGCCCGCTGGAGCTCCATTTGAAGCTGCTGGGAAGGGCCGCCGCCGCAAGGGTAGAGATGAGAAGAAGGAGGAAGAACTTCATCGTGTCGAAAGGCTGTGCATTTCGTATGACCATTCTGCAGGCCGCGATGGCTCTTTTATATTTTCCCTTCTATCTCATGTCTGAAGAGGTCCGTCTAACCAGCAATGAAAAAAGGGTCCAGAGACTCCGGCTAAACACGCGATGAAACACAACATCGCCTGACGAAGAGTATACTTTCCGGTATGATAACTGCAAATCCTGCCAGACCAACAAGGATGTGCGGAATATTACCGAGACGGGCTCGTGTGCCTTGAAATCCGCGACAAAACAGGAAATCGAAGGACTCCAACACGGCACTCTTTAACTCTCCATTTGCCGTCAATCATTTATTTTCCCCTTACCCTGTCGCGGATTGACATTCCCATTACCAAAAACGATATTTAGAATGCGGAGAATGGACCCTCTTGGCACCTTCGCCGGACCCTGAGCCCCACCGGGGGGATTTCAGCCTAAAATCCGTGACGAAGTCTGTCTGGGGATGTCTCAAATGCGCAGAGACAGGGGATGGCCCAGATGGGTCCAGGCACTGACAACTCCGTGGTGAGGGAATAGTTTTCAGTGGATTAGAATTTTGAGAGCATCGTCGAGATCGAAAGCAACGTAGCCTTCATTCGGCAATTTTGTCTCCGACTTTAATTTGCATCCTACCTTGACTGAGAGATGTTAAGAGAGATGCCGAGTCAGAATAACCAGCACACGGTCATGGAACTAACATAAACCAACAGTAGCGAGTTCTCAGGATAGGTGTGGACATGGGCGTGTGTTGAAGGAGAACACATGTGTATCAAGCGACACTGGATTGGTAGTCCAAGTCTAATGACGCGCTGCAACTCCCCTTCGTCCTGTTTATTATTCGTGATGCTCGAAGATATCATGTCCTACCACCGAGCGTCATGACGGCACGGCTTCAGTAAGTGAGCTTAAAATTACAGGGGCCATTGTGGAATGGGAAAGTTACAAAGCACTTCTTTCATCTGAAGAGGTGTTCTATGACCTAACCAAGAGACAGGCTAATTTTTATGTCGAGAAAATCATGGACGGAATTCTGTCTGTTCTCAACCTTTATCATCCATATGAATTATCCTGAATCATGTATAAATAAACCTCTTGATTACTAACCGACAGCCTTTTATCACGAATAGATCTATGAACTTCTATGTGCACCTAAGGAACATCTTTCTGCTTTTAATGACTTCGCTTCTTGAGTAAACGCTTGTGACCATATATCTCTGGATTCTGCAAGCACAATACATGAACCAACCAGGAAGACTGAACCTGCAGTCGGTTTGCGAAGAGCGCTTGCCTAGAACATTGTCTATGACCGCAAGACACGGAGAGTGCATGCGAGTCACACCTTAAGAATTCCCTGTCCAGCCATGCTACTCAGCCAAGCGTGTTCCTGAATATAAGGTCCTCTTACTTCAGAGCCAGAACTTTCCACTATTACATAGCACCACGGTTGGGTTAGAGTGCATTTTGGTTGACGCCCGCTAGGAATAGCCAATAATCTGTCCTCAGATGTAACGCATATGAATAGCTAAATTCCCGCAAACCGACGGACAGTGGATGGCTTCCGCACGGGATCGGGCCATCGCTGCTGCCTAGAGATAGACGACGGCGCACAGAAGACCTTAACAAATCTGAAGACAACCATATCCCTGTTGCTCTGCTGTCGTATGTAGGTGGCGAATTAAAAGACGTATCAATTGATCTGGACCTGTTTGTTGGCAATAATGAAGGTGCACTTTTGATTCCTAGTCCATTGTAGAATACTCCATCTAAGCTATCTAAAAGTCATTATAGCGGGGAGGAAACTTCTCCATGTAGGCCAAGAGAAGCCGTTTCACAATAAAGGGACATGGCGAAGTGCCTGTCCTATACGCCAGACGCCAAATTCGGCCGGCGAGAATTGTCAGACGCTGATATCAACCTATCGGAGCGGACTATAATGAGGACGGCTCCTTCGCGTTTGTGTAACAGGCTCAAGGCCTTGAGCATTGTCATGGAGGGTCCCGACTGGTCGCAATAGTGTAGAAAGAGTTCAAACCAGCCAATGCAGTCAACCCACCCGTGAGGCTGTAAACCAGCTGGAGTCGAATGACGGCGTCGGGAGGCTCCCAGTTGCCGTGATTATTGGCATCGTCGCAAGAGTGGTGGGATGGGCAGTCGCAGCAGGCAATGTGGCGCAAGCAGCAGTAGGACAGTACCCTCGGCTACACGCAAAGCGACACAGGTCATCATAACGAGTGACATCCATGCCACTAGCGGCATGCCCAGCAACATCAGCTGCAGGAGGTGGCAGAACCAGAGGGCCCGTTGCATGGCAGGAGCATGCATTCATTGGACAGAAACCATATTGACAAGCAAAATTGCAAAGACCGGCGAGGTTCCCTTCTCCTGAGCCGCTGATACAACTAGGTGGACTGAAATCAGATACCGTGGGAGTCGACAGTGGGGCCGAGACGGTTCCACAGGCTGTGTCCGGGCAGTATCCGTACGTACAGTCAAAGCTGCACAAACCGATATAGCTAGCATCCTCTCCAGCAATAGGATAGCCGCGGATCTCACTAGCAGCGGGCAGCGAGGGTGGTTTTCCCATTGCCTGACACGTACAGGCGCTAATGGGGCAGTATCCAAGAGAGCACGCGAAGTTACAAAGGCCCTCAAAATTGTAGGAGCCCGTGCCTTTGATACACTTTTGGTCTGCGATATTCAGCGCTGGGGTGGCTGAGATCTTATCTGAAGAGAATGAACTCCCCACCCACGCATTCCAGTTCTGGATGTTATTCTGGCAAGTATTGCTGATAGGCGCGCCGATGACTTCAGCAATAGCCTTGCCGCCACGGGAGAGGGTGACTATGACTTGTCCGGTCCTTGTACCGATTGGCATACTACCATGGTATAGACCTATTCCACCATCTGGAGTATACTCCCACGTCAGTGACTCGGGTACTCCTGCAATGCTAACTGTGACTATCGCAGGGGAGCTGAGCAGTGCAGTGAAAAAGATTCGATCTTGGGCGACGTCAGTTGGTGGAAGTTCGAGTTGTAATTGGCTAGCCGTATTCCCCGAAGTGCCACCAGTTGAACACGCTGCAGCAGGAGATTTTCGATACCACGTTGTAATGCCTTCGCGGCTCACGGTGGCAGTACCAGTTTTGTAGAGATTAATAACAAAGGGGAGAAACTTGCGCCATCCGTCATGAGGCATATCAGTGGCATTGTTATAAGGTGCTTGTCCGATACTGAAGGCTGCCATAGCATCGTCACGTAATGGTTCGATATAATGGGATTCGCCATAGTCATTCCAGGAGATGATCTCCACAAAAATGGGTTGAAAATAGATTATCTGTTGCCAGCGATTGTACCAAAGGTCATCGCCCCGCCACAACCAGTTTTTGTTATATCCAGGGAGGTTAGTGAAGAACCATGGCGAGGCGGGCATCATATATGGGGCCCCATCCAGCGTTTGATTATACGATGCGTCAGTATACGTCGTCAGATCTTCATTGCCCCAAGGCCAAACAGCCCAGCTGAAAAGGCCATCTGCCACGCTGGATTGCCAGGCAGGTTTGCACCGAGGAAGGACCAGTCAGGTACAAAGAAGCAACCGGCCTTTGCCTTGATGCCAATCCAATCATCGGCATTGGCTGATCCTTCAAACGTGGAGACAAATGGTCTGCCACCATGGGAGTAGTATGCCTTACTCTAACCATATTGGTAGATATAGCCAACAACTGTATCCTGTGGCCAGGGCCCATTACCCGCATAATCGAAGGGGAGGAAGAGTTTGAAACCAAGACTCTCTGCGGCTGCAAAGGCAGCCGAAAGTGCTTCTGAATTGACAGGGTCGTCGAATGCCATATTTAGAGCAAAAGCATCGATATGAGCTTCCTGCGCGAGCTTCATGTCTTCTACCCATGTTGTGGCAGTGTAGTTCGCAGAATTTGTCACCTAGACCATCAGTCAGTTACGTTGGCCAGCGGAGCCAAGAGACGGATTTCATGGAGCTGATAATAACGTTTCCATACGCACCATGAAATGGGCAAAGACTGCCTTTGCCTGCACATGGCGAATACACAGCAGAGAGATCAACAGATGAAGGAATACCATCAGTGAATTGAATATAAATCCTCTGACAGAGCTAAGTTGTCGATGTGACGGAACCAGATATCGAGGAATACAAGTGATTTTGGATACAGTAGCAGTCGACTCAGCCTTGACCACAGGAATGTGCGCCGGCGCAGCAAACACCCTCTGGGATTATCTGCAAAGGGACAACTACGCGAACACAAAATATCTGGTTGGACATGCCATGGATGGTATTGCCCTAAATGTCATTGCCAATGTCCCAAATTTCTTCATCAATGCCCTCTTGACTCGCTGGGCTGCCTCTAGCAGCACATCCGATGCATGCGGTCAGAAGGACGATGCCACTTACGCTGCGGACGCGGCAAGTTCAATCTATCAATTTTGTCTGGCTATCCAAAATGAAAAGATGGAAGATACGGCTACGCGTTATGATGCCATGGACTCCGAAGACTCGTCCACTCGACCAGCCGGAATGCAAGGCCTAGCCAAATACTTCATATCACAACAGGCTGAAACTTGGGCACCTGTTTGCAGGGATTATGGAATTGTTTGGAGACGCAGGTTGCTGCAAAGCTTCAGGTCGTTGACTGGGTTTTGGTCAGCAAGGGAGTAGACTCAAGTCTTAGGAGGTTGGTGGTGATGTCGAAGGCATTAGCGTATTTGAGCAGCAGATTGTGCCCTGTCAAGCGGGTCCGGAGCTTGGAAGGTGCTCACTTATCAAGAATTTGAATGAAATTTGTTTAGAAAATGACTGTGGCTGGTCGGGTAACTCCACAATCCCAAGTAGTGAAATTGAACATGGGCTTTTCATCGTTCCATCTCAACCAATTGGTAAGGCCCTGTTCGTTCTCTCTAGGAAACTCCTTGATAGATGGAATGCATTTTCCAACCGCGCTGGTCTTCAAGAAACCACCGAGTTAGGAAGCCATGTAATAATCGCAGACCAGTCTGAGCTAGATCGGGAGGCTCTTTTGGTTGGCGTCATTAGCTTCTACTGCTGTTTATCTTTTCCCTTCCGTCTTTGCCTCGATTTGGCCTCCCAGTCACACAGATCGATCATGGAGGAAGCAGCCACTGACACCAGGAAAAAGCCGATGAGTAGCAGCACCGGGAGAACGAGACAGAGCACAAGCAACACGATGAATCGCCAGAATTGCAGATCCCATTCATGGTTTTTTAACTTCCAGTGCCAGTGCCGTTTAACAAGTCCAGCCCAGCTGCAAAGGATCCAGTAGCCTTCCACCAATTCTATTGCAAGAAGGAACAGGTGCAGAATGAAGTAATGAACCACGTGTGATCGGGTTTTGATACGAGGCTCGAGCCATCTGGTGTAGTCATATTCACCTTCACTGTCTTGTTCCGTTCTGAAAAAGGTGATGACTCGGTCTATCCAGAGAACGATGATGATCAGGAAGATCCAGAAAGGGGCTGTGCTGAAGAGCCAGTGTGCAAAGAATTGGAAAAGAGTGCAGTCTGGGCAGCCTGAGGGAGTCATCCTCTCGTGGCTGTCAACAGCTCTTGGTTTGACATTTATCGGTAGTTGTTAAAGAATATTTAGAGCACACAGCTGGAGACTAAGATGACACGTAAGAAGATTGACCCTTAGCTATGTATTTACCTGCCTCTTTAGGCTAAGCGCACACTGTCCTCACTGATCAGGTGCAGTATGTATGCAGGGCATTTACACCGCAGGTTAACTTCAAGAATATCAAACCGCAGTCTTCCATACTAGAATCACCTTCCCCTCTTGCCAAAAACATCTACGGATAATCTTGCTCATTTCCAGCTGCTGGACTTTTCTTCATCCTACGGAAGTATACCCTCTTCGAAAATTTCCACAGCTCCACGCCCCCAGGAAGAATAGCACTGCCTTAACAAAGACAATGCCCCATTCCCATGAGATACCCGTATGCTTGAACATGACATAGGTCAATATTGGGATGTAAAGGATGGGAAACGTGGTCACAAACCCAGCCACAATTGACCAAGAAAAGGAACTGGTTCCTCCAGGTATTAAACGAAGATTCGACTCTGCAGTTGGCTTGCAAAGAGGGCATTCCTGCAATATCATCTATGACCGGGAGACACGGAGAGTGCATTCGCTCTTCTCCTTCCATCTGATATATTCCATTCGCGGCAGTGAAGTATCTACTCTGCTCTTACACTGCTGCTGTTTTCAGAGCAATCATAAACCGGCACTTACTACGGGCTCTTGTATTACAACAGAGTCAGGGTCTGGATCTCTGATTTCCTACATCCACTACGGATATGCCTATGAGGAAACTCAAGTCGAAACAATAAATTCGGACTCCAACCTGTATGTGTACTATTAAACAACATCACCAGCTTGCAACTTCATCTCCGAAAATCATCGAAAAGCAGATGAACCAAAAATCAATGACTGAAAGTACTCACATGTCGTCCACCCATTCTCCCCCTCCGTCAATACCCCAAGCCGGACCAGCTACACAGACAGTTAGCGGACCTTTCTCTGCTCCTTCCAAGCCTGATAAGACAGGAAGCTCCATCCCCAAGGACACATTTTATCCTCCGTAACCAAATACAGTCCCTCACCGCTCGGCTCGCCCTTATCCCAGTCCATGATCAAATGCTGGACTTTCAGCCGCACGGCCGTGATGATCTGATCGACGTTCAGGCCGGCAGCGGGCAAGGCAAAGACCACATTGCCGCGCTTGACGGCGCCGGCGGCTCGGAGAACGTCGAAGGAGGGGTAGACTTTGACGTCGCGGTGGTGGAGTTTGTGGTGCAGTGACTCCAGCAGGATGGGAGTCAGTTTCTTCGGGGAGGTTTTGATATCGAAGAGGACGTGAGCGACTTCGCGGGTGTCGGTGGGTTTGGTATTGCCATTATCGGGGGGTTGAGTTGTAGGATTGGTAGTCTGAGGGGTTTGCTCGGTGGGTTGAGCGGGATAAGGAAAAGACATTTTGACTGGTAGATACGTACCTTTGATGTCAAGATGTTGTGTTCAGGCATTGATATTGAGAGATGAGGGAGGTAGTGGTTGAGAGGATTGGTTTGGATGAGAAGAGACTTGGGCAGGATATCAGACCGAATTTATATTCAAGAGTAAGACATACCAATGCAGTATCTGGACGATAATTCCACTCTCTTGAAGAATATCAAAGCATCCTGCTCTACGGTGAGAGACATTGTAAGAAGAACTGAGATTGCTGCTGTGCGATGTGTATCAGGTGCTAAATGAGGCTGAATGGTAAGAAGGTAAATGCCTTGTAATTCATCATCATTGTCTTAAACGCAAGTATAAAGGGATTATTGATGAACATGTTTTGTGTCATAACGTCGCTTGTCATCCAAGTCAGAGGCTGATGATGCTTTTGGACAAAGGATACCGGACACAAAGCAGCGATATGCTTTATGCTCATTAATCTAAGCACAGACTTCGGTATTTTCCATTCATATTTATAGTGACTGTCAAAGGATATACACGACACTGCATGAGAAAATGTTTCGTTATTTGCCGCGATTGATAAACTCTTTGACTAGGGTGTCTCTAATTGAAGACATAGCCTGCAGGAATTCCGTACGGCATCAAATGCGATCTTGAGTCAGTCCACTCGTTTCGAGGGTCTGAACACTTATTGACACTAACCAGCACAAGAGTACAGAAGTGAATCAAATTTTACTGTGCCTTTTGCTATAACCGAAGCCCTTATCCTGAAGGTCTTAACAAGGATAATACATGACCTCCTCAATCCCAGGAAGAACAGACAACGGCAAACTCCATCCAATAAACCCAAGTCCTCAAACAAATGAAAATCACAACCACCAACTGCGGTGTTTCCTCCAATCCTGCATCGTCCCCTCAGCCAGATCATCCACATTGATATAATCCACCCCCTCCCGAACCAAAACATGCCAGACATGATTCCGCAGGCCCCGCGGCCACGTCGGAGTCCCCCAGTACCTGACTTTGAGGCCGCGGTCATGAGCCGCTGCCACTTGTTCTCGGACGCGAACAAGCTGATCCTGCGAGAAGCGGTTCCGGGATAGCGGTCCGATCGTCTTGCGAAAGTCGACGGAGGCGTAGTAGCTGTTTGTATAGTTATAATCAGCCGCTGCAGCCGATATTCCTTGTGGGTTTTCTGAAGTGCTTTGATCTAATTTATCCAACGGCGCGTCGAGAAATATGTCGCGGTAGGTGCTATTCGCCGCAATCAAATGGAAAGGGGCATCTCCCGAGAGTACGACCGTCACCGGACGCTGGACCATCTCAACCCCATCGAAATGCGAAAGGTAGCCTGCCTCACGCAGCGGAGCAAGCTGGTCGACCAGGTAAGGCCATGTATCGTTGCCGTCAGTTTTGAAATCGATGAGAAGAACGAGTGTCTGGGATGGATCGTGAGCAAACACACCCGCTAGTTTCTCATTTCTGTCGGGCTGCAGCCGACTGGAGCGGGTGTTATGCCGCTCAAGAACATCCAGCAGCGGATCAAGGTACAGGCTGCGCAGTGTAGCGGCGTGGTGTAATGTGAAGCGGTTATGTCCGACGAGAAGATCCCCTCCGGAGAGCCAAATGTCCGCCTCGACACCGATGCAGCCCGCTTTGATGGCTGAGAAGAAAGGGACGGGCCGCCAGTAGTCATTGTGTGAGTGACATTGCACGGGAGTGACCCCGTGAGTGGACCAGTGAGAGAATATAGACGGTCGTCCACCGGGGAACACCCAGGCATCTAGCCGGGCGTCGAGGTCGTCCGGGAAAATGTGGACGAGACCAGTCCACATTAGTGACAGGACCTTGAGAAATCCTCTAGACGGCGGGGTCAGCATCCATGCGAGGATGTAGTACATGAGAACTTACAGTATCCAAACCAATGCCCAGAAAGGTCTCTTGACGGCTCTGCAGATGATTGCGCGTCGAGACAGAGGACGTGCGTTACATTCGACATGGGAACATTGCCAGCCATTAAAAAGCTGCGGTGGCCACTTCCGTCTTTGTCTGCTCTTGTATATGCTATGTAGATCGTCTAAGCCGTCAAAGGGCAATAATTTTCGACCTGCAAGGTCACCGAGAATCGTCTCCGATGAAGCACAGGTATCCTGGGATGAGGAACTTCCGACCTCACAGTCGTCGGCAGTTGATAGAGATGCCATCACTGAAAACCTGCATCAATAATGAAAAGGTCGGGAACTTAGAGATAATCATTAGCACGCAACCTCTTCCAGCGATCCATGCCGATTTATACTCAAGTTGGCTTACGCGGCCCACAAGGCAAATTACCAGGTCCAGACAGCGGGAGCCAAGAGAGTCCGACGGTTCCTACCATTGAGTGCTTGATCCCATTAAGCTCGGGCAGCTGCAATGCGTTGACCAATCACCGAGTGACAGAATCATTCCAGCCTGCCATGGCCAATCACCGCTGACCAACAAGAAATCCAGCTGCCTAATCTATTTCAGGTAGGTAGAGATCACAGCTTTCTAGCCCTCAATATCTGACAAGGCCACGCTCCATACATCATCCTCAGACCCCCAAACTCCCTCGAGACACCCGTCCAGCCCATCTCCTTGACTGTATCCGCATACTCCCCAACATACCCCGCCATATCCACCACAACCAAGTATCCCCCGGACACCAACACCCTCGCCGCTTCCCCGACTGCCTTCTTCCTCGTAGCTTTATCCGCATTATGAATCGACAAACCTGCCGTCACCAGCGAAAACACTCCATCGCAAAACGGCAACTCCGCAAAACTCGCCGTATGTAGCACCGTCTGCTCGCAGACCCCCAGTGCAGCGGCATTCTTGTAAGTCGCCAGCGGTGAGTTTCCGCTCTGGTCGCCTTTGACGAATAGATCGATGCCGTAGGCAGGTTGGACGGGTGACTCTGAAGAGGTGAGTTGTTTTTTGATTTGGGCAATCTTCAATAGAACCATCCCTCGGCCGCAGCCGAGGTCGAGGGTTGGTGATCTGAAGGTTTCTCTGGGGAGGTTGGCGAGGAGGTCATCCCACACTTGGAATTTGCCTTTGAGAGTTGCGTAGATGTAGAGTGGGGAGAGGATATTGGAGGCGATCAGCCCGAGAGGGGAGTCGATGCCGTAGGATGGGTTTGAGGGGATGTCGTGTGCTGTGCGTTCTGTGGATAATCGTGCGATGTGGTTTTCTGGGGTTGAGGAAGAATAGATTGATTGCGACATTCTGTGTGTAGCGTGCAGAAGTATATTAACAGCAGTGTGAGGAAGTCTGGGAGGTCTATCGTCGAGTAGGGAAAATTTATCTATCCGGTTTTCTTCCTTTGCTATTCTTTTCATAGACTTTATATCATGTTTGATGGTCAGAAAATACTCCGTCCTTTGGCCTTTTCTTGTGTAGTTTCGCAGGCGACTTTCCTTTTATGTGTGTGTCATGAGGCCATGAACTCGTATTTCAGGCAGCAAGAAAACTAGCTAATATCACAAAATCCATACAACATTGTGAAAATATGAGATAAAGATTCTGAGCCTCTAGATAAAACAACTCATATCAGAGTCAAAAAATTGCTTCAGTTCATGCTGACTATGTGGTAGAGGTGCCGTGATTATGCCAAGGATGAAGGTAGTACAATGCTAGGACAAATTAAATTTGTAGATTATGTTCATTTCTCAAACTCCATGTCAGGTGAGTAAGCCCAGGAGAGGCAGCACTTACTTGAAGATGACTGAATTCCTTGATACTTATATAAATTTTGATTAAGCTCGTGTGGTATATATCTCCGAGTGAGCTGCCCAGATACGAAAGGAGGCAACAAGGTCGAAATTCTCCTATATAAACACAATGCTAGTGCAATTATCCATATTTCCATTACCACCTGACACAAGACCAACACATTAGATGACACCGTTTAGAATATTCCATGACGTTGCAGGTCGACGAGATAAGGTGCGGTGGATGTCTTCCGCATCCCCCGAGGAATACCATTTCCGGACATCTTAACATCAACGCCAAGAGGATCAATCGTCAGAGTCGTGGCAAACTGGAAGATGTTTCATAATCGCAAAAATATCCTCAATTCCCCCATCATCACATGTATAAGCGATAATTGTCGGATGAGGCTGGCTGAACTAGCGCACAATGAGGATCCCTTACAGACTATCGGAAGTAATAGCGTAGGCGAGTTCATAAAGCGCTCCTCATTCGTCACAATAACTGATGATAAAGTACAGTGACCACGCATTCGACTTAATCTGAGGGCGAGGACAGTTCTGATTTGCTGCTGGTCTGCATAACCTATCACATCCTGCAGGGATCGCCATCGCTAATGTGCGTCTCTTATATAGTTGATCTACTATGAATGTGGTTGGTTCTGGGAGCGGTCATAGGAATGGTCACGCCGCAGAAGACCTGCATAAGCTGCATGAGCTGGAACCATCTCCTCTGCAATTTAGTCAAATCAAGGGAGTAAAGAGGGTAATAAATACGGAAGTGGTTCTATCTCCTGCAGCTTCTTTTTGTTTCCGCTCAGTCAAGGACCGAGAGAGAAAGTCAATTGCTCGCATACACCCGACGCTCCGATTGATTTTGCAGGATGGACAAAAAGGCAAAAGAGGATCTCAGTTCATCAATGACGGCTTCAACATCGGCCATAATCGAGGACTTTGTCGCTTCCTACGAGAAACAACGCGACTTCTACTGCCGCACAGCAATTGCTGTTAGAAGGGTCTGCGAGGCAGCCCTCGAAAGACATCATATACCATGCCTAATCAGTCACCGAGCAAAAGAAGCGGCAAGTCTACGCAAAAAGCTATATGCCCGACAACTTCTCCGAGGCCATGTCTACTCCAGCAGGGAAGAGATCAAAAACGAAATTTCCGACCTTGCTGGCGTACGCATTGCTCTCTACTATCCTCGGCACGGAGAGGCAGTCAAGCGCATACTCAATGACGAATTTACTGTCGTGGACAAAAAGACAATCAGCCGAATGGGCATCGACGAGGCAATCCACGGCGGCTACGATCGATGGTTCCCGGGCTACTGCGCGAAGCACTATCGGGTGCACCTCAAGAACGGAACGGTCAACCAGGAAGGCGTCCCTATTCTCAACACAAAGATAGAGATCCAGGTCGTCTCTGTGCTGCGGCATGTCTGGGCCGAAGTGGAGCACGACGTGGTCTACAAGGGGAAGCTCAGGGCGAGCAGAGACGACCACCGCATCCTGGACGGTTTGAGCGGTGCGGTTTTTCTCGGCGAATGCTTTCTCGATCAACTGTATCAAACCCAGGTAGCAAAGACTACTACCGACGACAAAGGTTTTGAGAACGTCTACGCGCTAGGATCATTTCTGTGGAATTGGACGGCCTCCCTCGGGCATTGCCAGGTGGAATACCCTGTTGAAGTCGAGTTTCTAAAAGATCTGCTCGGTATTCTGGGACTTAACAATCCACGAACACTACGAGATATTCTCAGTCAGATCGACCTGTCTACTCGAGAAGGCAGCGAATGGCATTCTTTCCGGGCCGCTTTCCACCCCGCCAGGTCCAGCCTTACGATGTTCATAATGGCCCGGATCCTCTCAATGCCGGTCGGAGCCAGCAAGCTCGACAATACTCCAATGGACGATCCTGGACCCGATCAGGCACGACTGGAGCTGGGACTTGTTTCTAGTTCCCTGATTTGGCTCGATCGGGTGTATCCGCTCTCGTCTCAATTATTTGGAGCTCTCTTCGCCAGTGACTCATGGGACCGTTATCTGCCTGGAATCCGGTGGCTTGATTCGCGGAAAGCCCAGGATTATTGGAGGGGGAATGCAGTGCTCACCGACGAGGAAAAGTACAGAATCAACGGTCTTTTCCAGTGCTTTGCGGGAAACAGGGAAAAGCCTATTCAGCTTGCGTTTGCGCTTGCCAGATTGGGTGTTCTGAAAAGATACGCTGCTGACTGGTTGGCGTTACGTCGCGTCATCTCGCCGTTGCTTATTGTAATAAAGGCTCGATATTAGTGGCTTCTTGCCACGGAGAGTGGAAGATATGGTGCGATCTAGGCTGCCTAATTCTACGCATCACTCTGCTTTTGGAAAAGTCATGTATGGTCACCTTGATTTACTGTGTAGAAGTGGGTCTATATCCTGGCGACTATGCATAAGCGAAATGACACTCCTGCAGCGAGACTCTTAAGCAGGCATGTTTCTTTGTAAATGGAGGGAACAGGTCCAGTGTATGCATGCAAATAGTCCTACAATCCCTGACCATGGACAATGCTAATGGTCCGCAGCTCATCGTTGCCTAACAACACCACCTTCAGCGAGCATAATACCACACAGCACAACCTAGCCTAGAACACCATATGAGAGATATCAAACCACTGTACGAAAACCTGCCAGCTCAACGGTTGACTAGGGAGTCGGAACAGACTGTGCCAATAGTCCTCGATTGGTCAAATAGTACCGGGGCAAAGGCACGCTAAGCCCTAGCTGCCTAGCGGCATCCGGGCCGTGCGTTAGTGGCCCGCGCTTTGGCAGCCGGAAGCCGGTAGCCAATGGTTCAGTCGTGAAGGGGTGAGGGATTAGGCCCGCAGCTGTGGATGTGGAAGTAACCGTTCTCTCGGGATTTGGTTCATATCCTTTTAGTTGGTTAGAGGGGTGATATGCTGGTGGGTTTTGCCAGGATACGCTGGAGACTGGACCCAGTCTGTGGTGATTACATATGGATTTTGCAATGCGGTTTAGTTTACTACAATTTGTGTAAGCTGTCCACAATCCTTGACCGTTCAATGAGGGTCATTCGCAGTTCGATGATATATGCGATTGGGTATATTCAGCATGTCTTGAGTGCCACTCGCAACGCTTCTAATAATCCTTCAGTAGCATTCGAGTACACTTGCGGGATTTGATAACCGTCGGAAAGTCTCTGTCTCTGGACTGAAACGACGGTCAACAACCCAACCCACTGCTAAGGCCTCACATCCCTGTCACTCTTGAATGAGTCACTTTTTCAAACAAAGAAACCGCCTGCGCCAATTCTTGGCATACATTAGACGGCTTGCAAGCACGGACGCGACATGTCAACTCAAAATCTACCACAGTGTCGGGTTCGCCCGTGGCCCCCTGTCAGAGCCACATCGTTGAACCATAGGCCGTTATCGTGCTTAGGGGTCGCATTACAGATTTGCAGCGCAGCTCTCATTGGTAGATGCGTCCTGAGGAGACTCCTGCCTGAATGGGCTGGTAGGTACTTCGGTTAGGATCCTGGCTTGCAAGACCGTCTTGAGACTGCTGGTGTCTGAGAGTTGATTGCTCGCCATAGCCGTTGCTCTGTTAGAGGGATCATGGTCTTGTTTTTGTTAGTTGCGCCTCCGGTCATGATAATAGATATCAACCACTTCGAGGACCGGAACCAGGTACCACTAGGGGTCACCATCTGTTCACAATCTCAATCTCACCCATTCAATGTCCGGTATGCTTTCTAGACCACTCTACTACCAAACAGTGTTCCTATTCACTAATCCCAGCCGAAGACCTCACAGACCTCCGTTGTCTCCGAATAATCGAAACACTCCATGGAAGCGATGATAGCCTCGATCCCCAAGAAAAGGCGCTCGTCGTCAAGATATCCGGTCTCGTCGAAGGCGAAGGATGGTTTGGCTTTGAGCGAGACATGATCGTGATATCTTTCATGAGAAACCTGCGTGGTCTTGCTATTGAAGAGGAGATGATCGAGGCTAGCTGGTGCCGGTACATGAGGACAGAACTTTACGCATGCTTGTGTGAGATGTCGCCGATAGCAGTGACTCGAGTCTGGAGAAATGCTAACTTGGGGCTGTGCAGTGGATGCAAGGGAGAAGAGGGAGCGCTTAGCAAGACAGGATATGGGCTCTTCATGAGTTGTTTGGGATATCGAATAGTGGGAGAAAATAGCTATTGTTGCTCGTCAGCATTATGACTATCTAATACTGCTGAGAAGCATATGCTGCATATCCGAGTAGTGCCTCACTTGGATCTTGGACGGAGGGAGAGCAATTCCCCGCGACACTCTTTAACATGTGTATACATCTAGCTGCTGCAACCTTAGTATCATCGCATTAGCTATTCCATATCTTTTAATCTTACTATTCGGATTTTTATCCGAGAGTATGACCGTCAAAATGATGGTTTGAGTCATGCCCCCATCCGTAGCTCCCCGATCCATCCGAGGTTATCCGACCAATACATAACGACCTCATCACCACCCTTATCATCTAACAACATCAATAACATTATGGCTTCATCAAGGCAACATAATCAAAATGAGTTTGCTCTTACTGCAGACCCAGAATTGGCCACTTCCCACCCACCAACCATGGAAGTAGAAGAACCAGTGCAAGAGGAAGCCCCGTCAAACCTGTATGTCGTCTTACCGAATCTATAGTACCGTCTAACGATTCAGGAAATCCACCTTGGTGGTGATAGCCGCCTTCATGAGCATCTTCACCGGCTGCGGGCTCAACTTCGCCTTCGGCGTGTATCAAGAACTCTACGAATCCATGTCCCAACTCCCTGGCCGCACTCCATTCGACGGCGTTACTCCAGCCCAGATTGATCTCATCGGGACGCTGGCCGTCTCCATGATGTCCCTCGGAGCGCCATTCGCCTCGGGCTGGTGCAAATCCTACTCCCCCCGCAGGATCACCCTAGCCGGCACGATCATCTTCGCCACGGCCAACATCCTCGCATCGTTTAGCCAGCACCTCTGGCAGTTCGTCCTCACCCAGGGCGTCCTACTAGGCTGCGGTACATGTCTCACCTACATCACCGCCGTGACCGTCGCCCCAGGCTGGTTCACCACCCACCGCGGCCTTGCCATTGGAGTCATCTCCTCCGGCACCGGCGTCGGCGGCGTCGTCTGGGCGCCCGCGCTGCGCGCCCTGAACGCCCAGATTGGGTTTAGGAATACCCTCCGTCTGACAGGCGGTGTCTCCTCGGTGCTACTAGGCGCTGCCTCGCTCGTTCTAGACTGGGACCCGCGCACCAAGCGCCAGATCCAACGAGAACGAGCCTCGTCTTCCACCTCCCGACTCCGAGTCACGCTCGTGGACTGGCGCGTCGCGCGGACTAGGAAGTTCATCGCGCAGTGTCTCTCCGCGGGGCTGCAGGGCGCGGCGTACTACGCGCCTGTATACTTCATGTCGACGTATGCGCGCACGCTGGGCTACTCTGCGGCAACAGGGGCAATGTTCATCTCTATCTCGAATGCGTCGTCGGCGGTCGGGAAGGTGATCATCGGGCATGTGGCGGACCGTGCGGGGCGGATCAACGTCTTCCTGTTTACGACGCTGATGAGCGCGATAGCGACGCTGGGGCTGTGGTTGCCGTCCACGGTATCCGGGGGGAAGACCCTGTTCGTTGCGTTCGCGATGTTCTACGGTGTGTTTGCTGGGGCGTATGTGAGTTTGTTTCCGGCGACGCTGGTAGAGTTGTTTGGCGTGGAGCACTTTGCTAGTGTTAATGGGTTTTTGTATATGGTGCGTGGATTTGCGGCGCTGGTTGGCACGCCGGTGGCTGGGGCGTTGATTCGGAGTGCTGGATCGCATGTTGGTCAGGAAGTCATGAGCAAGCTGTTCTTTAATACGAGTATCCTGGTGGGTGTTTTGCTCGTCGGTGCTACGGTGGGTGTGGTGTGGGTGAGAATCGAGGCGGCACTCAGTATGATGGATCGTCAGGTTGGGGTCGGAGGCTTCAAATGGAGGATTTGATCTATATCTCCATTTCTTTGTATATATATTTTATCGGCCATTGAGACACTCCCCTCACCTTTGGACACCTAATCTCGGCATCGTATAAACCTTGTCAGTCTCCACTAGATGCTACGAACGAATACGAGCCTAGTTCGACCAGCCAAGAGGTACATATATAAACCCATCTCCCACAACAACCATCATCTTCCTTGTATTACCCCAAGCGTCCAAGGATCAAAATGCGTCTCTTCAACGCAACAACCCACCAACTAACCGACTTCCTCAGCGATGTTCCCCCCTACGCCATCCTCTCCCACCGCTGGCAAGACGAGGAAGTCATCTTCCAGGATATCGTTTCTGGGGCTGCACGCACCAAAAAAGGCTACGAGAAAATCACACAATGCTGCGAGCAGGCCCTCCGCGATAACCTGGGGTATATTTGGGTCGACACCTTCTGCATCGACAAGACCAGTAGTGCTGAGTTGTCTGAGGCGCTGAACTCGATGTATGAGTGGTATCAGAATGCGGAGGTGTGCTATGCTTATTTGTGTGATGTCGCTGAGGATACTGTTGAAGTAACGTCCGGAACAAGCAAGGGCGGAGGGTTCAGTGGGAGTGTATGGTTCACGCGCGGCTGGACGCTGCAAGAACTCCTTGCGCCTGCGCGGGTGGAATTCTTCAATGCGGACTGGCACCCCATAGGCTCCAAGTCTGAGCTGAAGAGCATCATCGCTGGTATCACCGGAATCCAAGAGGAGGTGCTGGATGGGACCCTCCGACCACAAGAGCTGAGCATCGCGCAGCGCATGTCCTGGGCTGCGGAGCGGGTGACCACCAAAGTAGAGGATATGGCGTATAGCCTGCTGGGCTTGTTCGAGATCAACATGCCGATGTTGTACGGGGAGGGGAAGCGGGCGTTTATCCGGCTGCAGGAGGAGATTATGAGGCAGTCGGATGACCAAACGCTGTTTGCGTGGAAGAGTTTGAGCGCAGACAATACCTACCGCGGGCTGCTGGCGCAGTCGCCGGCGGACTTTAAAGAGAGCGGCGCGTTTGTTCAGGCGGAGCAGAGGTTCAATCGGAGTCCGTTCGCGGTGACTAATATGGGGATTAGTATTGAGCTGGCTGTTGGGCACTGGACTATGGACGTGTACCTCGCGGCGCTGGACTGCGAGATGCAGGGCAAGAAGAAACGAGTGGGGATCTTCCTCTCTCCGTTGCCGGAGGACAATCAATATGCGAGGGTAATGTGCGCTGGGGAGGATCTGCCGACGTTTCCTGCAGACTTGAAGTCCGAATATCGCAAGGTGTACGTGAGACAGAGAATCGCAGGGACACGAAGGCCCCCGGAGCGCATGTATGGGTTCTGGCTCCGGCAGTTTCCCCCCGTTTGGAAGGGCCCTCACTCCCAATTCGAGGTGACGGCGTACCATCCCTGGGACGAAAATGAGCGCAAGCTCTGCATTCCTCCGGGGAAGCGGGGCACCGCAGGAATTATCAGATACTCCATGGGACAGAACCACGTCGTGAACCTGCGCGTCGGATTCGACGCCATGCTCAACCCAGTTGTCCAGTTTGGGGGCTCCCTCATGACAGACGCTCGGCTCAGAGCTCGCGACCCCAATGCCTTCGAGGTGCAGATGGCAGACGACTGGATGGACGAACGGAGGGACCGCGTTTTCATCGGAGACAGGAACCACGGACTCAGCCGGAACGACGGAACAATCCGGATACTGGTCCTGGAGGAGGTCGTCAAGAGACAGCGGATGTGGGTAGTCTATATCGCGGAGCCGGAAAAAGGAGCCTGGCACAAAGACTGCGTCTGCAACGGATGCCTGCTTACGGTGTTTGGGACTCGATATCGATGCAAGTTATGTCCTAGATTTGACTACTGTTCCGATTGCTTCCAGAACGCGAAGCGTACGCATCCGGGCCATAAATTCCAAGAGGACAATCCTGTTTGGCATGCTGGAGTGTACTGTGACTGGTGTAGTGAGGTGAGTCTCCTGCTTATCTCCTTGTGCTTCGGCTGACTCCACAGAATATATATGGAACGCGGTACAAATGCAAGGACTGCAGAGACTTTGATCTCTGCTGTTACTGTATGAAAGAATCGAAAAAAATCCATCCCGGACATCGATTCTCTGAGATTGAACGTCCCGGAGGTCAGCCTCGAGATACTATGCCAATCCGAGAACAGAATACAGTATCGATCAGTCAGCTTCGGCGCATTACGAACGACGCCGGCGCATATAGCCGGCCAGCTCCTAGGAGGTCCTCGCAATGAGAGCGTACCTCCCAGGTGTATCTACAATCTTGACAAGGGTGCTGCGAGGAATAGTGAGAGTCAAGGTCGACTTCGTCTGGTATGATAAGGTTAACGATCAAAGACCAGTGTGATCGATAGTATAGACGAGGAAAAATAGAAGGCGGGGCCATCATCTGAGGACGCCTCAGCTGCCGACAATTCTATAAATCTACAGTGCATGACTCAAGCAAAGCGGTTATTATTTATACAATTACTAGCAACAGTTGAAATCTCTCTCTAGCATGACCTCAAACTCCTGCCTTAAGCCCCAACGCGACACTCAATCATCCGCAACCTCAGTCTCACTCCAAGGACACTCAACATCCTCTCCCCACAAATCCTTGTATAACTGGCGAGGCACAGCCCAATCATGCTCCCAATCACCATCCGAGCTGTCACGCCGTCAGCGAACTACACCGATACCATCATCTGCAACACTCACCTCAAGCTAACGCAGTTCGGAGCCAGCACCGCCGCCCTGAGCAGGATACACGCAACCACCTCATCATATGGCTTATAAGCCGTCTTGATGAAAGAAAATCCGGCGTTGCCGTGTCGATCCAAGCAGAGAGGCTCGTATCCGTCGTCTCCGACTCCGTTGAGGTGTATTCCCTGCTGTACGTCGATGATTGGCGGGCCAGGCTCGTCGAAGTCGGGACCGACAATAGGCACGCTGGAGTTGTCGATGATTTTTTGAGCATCCACGACGAGTTGGGGCCAGGCGGTTCGCCATTCGCGGCTCGAGGTGTTGTCGACGGTGTAGTAGTGTGTGTAGCTGGTATTTGTTAGTTGATGGTGTCGATGATTGTTTGTTCACATACCCCATCTTGGATGTATCTCGCTTCTGATGTTGCTGTTAGCCAGGGATGGAAGTGATGGAAACGGATAGCGAAAGGAGATGCAATAGAATATGCGCTGAGGTGTGAGCGTCAATGACTGCATGATGATCTTGATGTCCTGCAGGTGCTGTTTCTGACTCAGGCATACAAGGAAGGAGCGACCTTCACTGCACCTTCAATTTATCGATCATTCACTCTCTTCATAATGGCAATAAGGACAGGACTTTAGAATGTCCTGTATACGCTTGAAATATCAAGTCATTTCTACAGCGCGATTCCCACATCCAGTCAAGGTTCTGCTTGTAGGGGCATAAAGTTATCACACAGGATGACGGCTCTCTGTCTTTCTTTCCTGGAGATTCTTATTTATATAAAAGCCTACAGTCAAGTAGAATGCACACAGTTTGATCCAAATAATATTATAACGCCTGGGAACAAGCTATAGAATTGATCGCGGCATCGGTACATTAGGGCAAGGGAAACACTTCAGCAAGTTGCTTCCCACTCGTAGCAGTATGACCTGAATCATTCCTCGCAATAATATTATCTAAAATGTGCATATCAGAGCTAGTTTGATAGGCTATGTAGTTTAGTGTGCTATCAGCAGCGTACCGTGTCCCGTGCTTATACTTGCACCTCTGTAGTGATATACTATCTGATCTGGTATCGTCAGTAACGAATGGGCTTATTACATCATCTAACATTTAAATGTACAGACCAGGAGAATCAACATACAGACCATCAGAGGCTGAACGGATTAGTAGATGCGTGGGTTGATCATTTCATCACGAGGTTATGCTTAGGACGGTAGCTATAAGCTGGGTGTCTATTTCTAGCTCATGGCGGCATCAAACAACGCATCGCCTCAATCTTCATTATTCCCGAAAGTCAAACTTAACATTAAACCAAATGCCGAGTAATCGCACCACCCAATATGACAGCTGCAGTTGAGACAGCGCGAGCTATCGACCGACACGTGCAACGACAGCCTGGAATACGAAGGCCAAGCAGAGATGTCTCAGCCCTGACGTACATCATGTCAGCTTTAAGGGCTGTGTTTCAGACAAATCTCCGGATCTGGTATGTTCGAGTCAGGTGAAATGTTTTGACTTTCCAGGCAGATGCTTCCTTTTGGGTGCCATCTGTCATGCTTGAAACACCACCATATAGAACGCTGCTTAAGCGATATTTCGATGTTGGATGGACTCGAGACTCGATGGCTGGAAGAAGTGAGATCTGATTCCTAGTCATGTAAGCCGAGATACTGTCTGCCTTGGGGTGCAGTTATGTGATGAGCTCATGATCCTGACCATCAACCAAGCTGATATTCCTTCCAGAAACATATAAGAGTCAACCTGTCCCTAAACATCTACCTAACTCAACAACACATTCCATCATAACATCACTATTCCACATTCTAACACAAGCCATCACGATGCACTTCCTCACATACATCACCCCCCTCTTCTCCCTCCTCCCTCTCATCAACGCCCTCCCCAGCCCCACCAGCTGCACAACCGTCACCCCAGACATCGCCCGCGTCTCTCAAGCGGAGCCAGTAGCCTCCTACCTCCCCGGCTTCCGCATCTCCCAGCAAGCCGGCGGCACCAACAAAGAAGACATGTTCGTCGAATTCAACGTCACCTCTGGCAGCTGGGGCTGCTCGCTCTCCTACTCCTTCCCCGCCGGCACGCCGGTCACGACATCTGGAGCCGCTGCGCCCGTTGAGATCTTCGCGGTGAACGGCCCGCTGAGCCGGTCTCCTCGCGGCATCGACGTGTCCTGGGCGTATTGTCCGGCACCCGGTGCGCTGGTCGGGAGCACGACCTTTGAGTCGGATCCGAACGAGGCGCGGACGAGGTTCGTTAATAGTTTCTCGTGCACGGATAAGATGACGTATCGGTTGAGTATTGCGGGGTGGTATAAGCAGGCTACGAGTGTGGAGTTTGCGCAGGGGCCTGGGGTTGGATTAAGGATGAGTTATAATTGTTAGTGAGTATTCAGAGTGAGGTTGGGGGGTAAGGCCGGTTGAATTGTGGAGAGTCATGGTGTTGTTCTTGGAATGTCATTCCTTTAATGATGAGTATACTTATATCGGCATTTGATAGTGAAACACTCCTAATTTTGGATCTCAGAAAGAAGGCATATTTGATTCATTGGCTTTGTTAACCGTAGAACCTCCTCCAGAGGCTCACTGTACATGACTCAAGTAATGTGCCTATCGTGAGGCATCTACTAGGTAGATCTAGAGGTATCACCTGTTGAATATAGTAAGCAACTAAGTTTTAACAACCAGAGACCTGATCTAAAGTTGATATCAATCCGTCGACTACACATGATCCGAACAAAGAACGCCCACGCTCCGCTGAGCCACCTATTCGACAATCCCATGGAATAGTCCAACCAGTACGTGCAACTATCTCGCAGGCCAAACAGCAGGTCAGGATGTGGTTAAGGAACCGCTCTAAGCCCTGGATTATCAAGATTATAGAGGTTGCGTCGCAGCTTCATGAAAAGAATCGCTGTGGATCGGCTCCACAATGCATGATGGGTCACTGACTTTTCTTGTAGAATGGCAATATCAGCATAGGTTTTGTCAAGATAGTCCTTCAGATACTACATAGAAGACCTTACTACTTATGATTTAGCTTGGGTATAGATTTGCATACCACACTGCTAGCTAAGGCTAAGGTAGTAGGTAATCCTAATACTTACAGTTAACTCCTAGCTACTATTTACAATAAAATAAGAGATGTCTCTTAAGTCGAAAAAAAAAAAAAAAAAAAAAAAATAGGATGGTATTGATAAGATCAGAATAGTAATAGTTACTAATAATTGAAGGCTCTGCGCATCTGTACTCCCATCAGCTGCCAGGCAGCGAACTTAATACAGGCCAGTGCCAGATTATTTTCTACCTTACCAAAGCATTCCTCACGAATCCTGGTGCAAGAGCAGTTCATCAATCTGCTCAGCTTGCCCTGAGGCATGAAAAACTTCCGCTATTGCAGCATCTGTCCCCAGAAGGACCTGACCAGAAAGTTCGGTCACTGTGTTTGTTGAACTCGACGAGTTGTTGGATGCTTAAGATAAAACCTGCAATGGCGCCATCACTATCGTAGTGATAGTTGGCGTAGCTACCGTTGAGGTAGCCGACAATACACACTGCGCCTAGGGGCCATGTCCACGTCTGCACTGATGGGACGAGTAACTGGCCAATGCACTGCACTTGCAATGCTTCCCAGTTGATGAATCGCCCCGGGTTGAAGTTCGCATCCCGGTAGTATGAGGCCAATGCCACGGTGGCCGCAGGCACTTCTGACGATGAAGCGATCAGGAGTGAACCAGTCCGAGGCCGCGAAATAAGACTTGCTCTCTCCCTCTCAGCTGGCGAGAGGCATTTGTACCCTACTAGTAAACTGAACAGCTTTAATGCCTTCAGTATTTTGGGTTTTGAATCGCTTGGCGATTTGCCATCAGAGCTGCCATTCTGATAAGATCGGTCCCCTCTAGGTTGTTCGTGCAAACAACGACATGAGCATCTTGAATGATGAGTTCAGAAACCGCGTCAAACAATTTCTTGAATGCGGTTTCTCTCTTGGACCATTGCTCGAGATAATTGTCAGAGGCTTCCTTGGGCCGGTGACCCCTTTCTGTATGAGGTCTCACCCTAGACGTCCATTGACCAGTAGTACAGCTAATCGTATTAGCAAATGTATAATCTGACCATGGTGACAACTTACCTAGTTGGATGGTTTAGCGATTGGACCAATCCACGGGAGATTTTGCAATCAAATTTCGCTGATCATTAAGGAGACTCTTTAGCAGCCCCGTGCGATGCTGGCCATTACAGACGACAAATGGGCCCGCATTAGGAGTAACAGGGGACTCGTCTGGTCCGGTATGGACATACCCCGGTCAAAGTGGCCTTCCTGAGGTAGTGTGCATTTGATCAAGGCAGAGGCCTGATTGCATGGAAATCCGGACAAGGCTTATAAATAGTCCTCCACACTAGTTTCTCTTATGGCTGCCGTTTGACAAGGTCCTAAGAAGTTGCATAGCCAACTCATCTGTGAGGAAGTTTCGTAGCCCCTGCAACAGCTGGTATGTGTATCGTTGATCCATGGGCTTTCGAACCTCCTAGGTCTTATTGTCAACGACCTGTTGTTCACCCTGCATACGGCATTTACACTGGTTTCGGTCGAGGTCGATTGGCACAGGAAGTGCAGCTGTGAAATTGCTGTCCTTGTAGAAGCATGTGCACCGTCGGTAAAACGCACTGTTTTCTCGTCAAGGATGCTTTCCATGAACTCTTTCGTTGCGACCCTCTCCCTCTCGAGGACCATGCATCTGGGCTGTATGATGGGGTCCGAAGACTTCTGTAGAAGGATTAGCTTGACTGTGGGGTTCATAACGGATAATGTACTGCACCTGCATGGTCAAACGTCTGGACAGGGATACAAGAAACACCTTGATATTGTCCATGATTGCCAATGCAAGGCGCCTCAGGCAATCCTAGAGTTAAGTCTTACTAAACTGTGAGCCATAATGAGTAAGCATAACTAGCTGTAAGAGAGAATATAAGTAAGTCACTTACTGCAAATTCAAGTTGCATGTAGGCAGTTAGGGTAAGCTCTGGCGCGTCATAATGCATTGGTGCACTCGCCGCTTTAAAGAACTGCTTGCAAGCTTTTGCTTCCCAGTCCTCATCCGCCAGCGAGTACTTGAGTGAATTAGCCAGGCGACTAAGCAGACTTCTTCGCGTGTGCAAGCTGGACTTTGTCTGGGGGCATGAATTCATACAGAACGTGGACGGTCCGCCCACCGGAGGAGAATCGAGCGACTGGTACCAAGCACAGTTATCCCAGGTCTTTTTATTCCTCTTATGGGTTTGCCTCGCATGACAACAAGCTTGAATTGCAGATATCTGCAAACCAAACAGGGAGGAGCCAGAAAGAGTTGACGGGCAACTCAAGGGCACGATAGACATGTCGTTGCAGTTAAGTGATCGTCCGCGGCCTTTCGCATCGTTTCCTGAGTGTGTTGGGTTCTCCGATTCTACAAGACACTCTCCGTGCGTGATTGGCCATTTTGGCACAAGGTCCCAGGGCAGAAGTATCCTTTATCTGCGAAGACGGTCGGGGAGACCCAGCGCTGCTTCACAGAGCAGTCAGCACAATATACAGTGTACCTGATCTTGACGATTTACTGACCTTGTAATGAGCAGCCAGTATTGCGGCCCACCGGCTGAAAAGATCGCCAAGCTGCCTATCACGCATACATTGTGGTCTGTTAGAGTCTCATCTCCGAGTTAGTAGAAAGCTCCAGTTAGAAATCTTCCATCATTTACCTAGTGGATCGCTGCATGCCTGTCTGTCGGATTCCATCCAGGGGAATACGAGTAAGCACAGTCGCAGAGCCCTTTCGGCTGTGATGCAAGCCACGACGGTATCGTCTGTTCCGTAGCCAGAAGATATATGAGCTCAGCTATAGAGCTTATCATACTGCTGATTCCATTAAGTTTCCCTATGCAAAAGCCTGCTCTGACGACCTTGCAGCTTGCGAGGGTTTTAATAGTTCTAGCACATTTTTTTCCAGAAGGTATGCCGCAGGAAAATATACAGAAAAAGTGGAAGCTCCAGCAGGAAATATACTGTCAAGAGAAGAAGAGAGTTGGAGAAGGCAGAAGGAGAAGAAGAGAAATGGAGGTGATTATATTGCTAAGCATGTGAATGACCCAAAAGACAACATATTCACTCAGCCATTCATTGTTCTGCAACGGACCCATTCAAATGACGAGGCTGAGACAATCTATCCCAGATGATGAACAGGAAAAGTAAGCGACGTGGATGCGCCAATCAGCGGGTAGGAGCGTGGTCTCAGAAACCATGTTTCCATTCTGGGAAAACGTGGCGCTATTCCCGTTCGCTTAACCAGCTTCCATCCAATAAAGAACCACGCCAATTTTTATCGGGATTATCGCCAAGCTAGGTAAATTAAGCAGCGTCTGGCTCTGCGGCTCAGCAGGAATACTTAATTTCAACATGGATACGCCAATCTGACCTTGGAGGAGAATGCACCATGTGTCTTCAAGACAGTGCCCTCCCGCTATGGCCCATTTTCTGCGCCGTACTCTGCACATCCATCAGTGTGATTTTCCAACCAGCAGGCCATGTCTCATTCGTCGATGACTTAAAGGTCAACGCCGCGTTTCTATCTCCCATCACAGGGGCGCTGTGGTCTCTACGCACTATATTCGGGGTTCTCGGGTGTAGGATATACAACGTGGCAGATCTCCCAGCAGCTCTATGGATCGCCTCGGAGAAGGAGTTCCAGAGTCATGCTGGACCGTACGTGATGAGCGCACTCGGACGAGGACCACGGAATATCTACATTACTGCCCGATGGGTGTTTTTCGTCCTGGTCACCCTCCCGCTTTACCTCCGTCTGGTCTACTCCATCCAAATCTGGTGGGCGACAACATGGGCGACCGCCCTGATAACCAAATTCCTCTTGCTCGAACTCCTGACGAGATACTATGACCCACCACGGACAAAGATAGTCGTACACACGACCTGGCCCGAAGTCCCGTTCATCACTCTATCCAGCTCACGAAGCCCTGCTGAGCCCAGCACATCCAGCCAGAACCCCGTCCACGGAAAGGAGGGCATCGCAGAACAGAGCATAGACCCCAACGACGCAAAGGCCCTTCTCCCCCTCTGCGCACGCATCCAGAAATTCTGCTCCATCGTAACCGAAAGTCCCGACGACACAGAACGAAGCCGCATGACCCCAGCCAAAGACTTCTACCTCCGCAAAGCGCTGAACCACGAGTCCCTTGACCCCCGACTCTGCTGCGCGCACACGCGGTGTCGCCTGTTCAAGCTGTTCCATGTCCTAGGCCACGCAATGCCCTATCTATTACTGACTCTCGAGGCTCTCGTCGTCCTATACCTGGGCCACCAGAACCTACGCACGATTACCATCCTTGTTACAGGGTGGATCATGAGACCCCGCTGGGTGATGTTTGCCGTCTCCCTGGGCACGAGGATTACCGTGGTTCTTCTGCTGCCCGTCTTTCTGGGGTCGGTTGTGATGGCTGTTCTGCGTGCGCGCCGCCCGGTTACGGAGGTGAGGTTTGCTCGCCGTGTGTTGGAGGTTATGTGTTTGACTCTCCTGGCGGTTGTCTGTGTGGTGTATTTCCTTGCGTTTGGGTATCCGCCTGTTTCGCCGTTTGCTTTTGCGTGGGTGGGGGAGGTATGCGCTGCTCCGGTCATACTGGGAGTTGGGTTCAAGGTGGCTCGATGGATGGTGAGAGGGCCGCGGCGGGGGGTGGATGGGCAATGGTCGACTGGTGAGGACTGGAGAACGATCGGCGATGAGAAGAAAGTTGCAGATGAACCGCCGTTGTTGGCACATCTCTTTGCGTTTGCTTGGACGGTGATGTTTCTGATTCCTGCGGTTGTTGTGTGGGTTGTGATGAAGACGGTGTTTTGTGCTGCGATTGCCTTACAGGAAGCGGAGATTCAGAAGAGGTTTGAGGAGTATTATGAGCGTCCGGGGTTCTAGGAGTCTGGCTTTCAGTCTGCCTCGAGGCTGATAGATTATGTATATAAGCTATAGTTTCAACATGAGCATCAAACATCTCAGCGGCTTGTTCTTGCCCATCTTCTCCTCCACTCTGTCCAGCGTCTCAAGCATTGTAGTGAAGAGCTTCTCTAGCACTTCCAATGTATACGACAGACTCCCGACCTCCTTCATCTCGGCCAGAATACGTAACTTACCGGCATGCGACAGCTGCGCTTTCTTGTCCTCTCCGTAGATGACCTTGAAAAACTCGTCTGCCTTCGGACTATGCTCGAGCAGATGGAGGACCGGAAACGAGAACTTGCCCTCGTCGAGATCATCGCAGAACCCTTTCTTTGCGGTGTACTATTCAGGTTAGTCTTGGAGAATAAGTTGAACCAAAAAACCCACCTCGTCCGATGCGAGGTTCTGATAATCGTCGCGGATTTGATAATATCTCCCAATGAGGGTTGTCAAATGTTCCAGGTCAGGGTCAAGTTCAGTGCCTGTTAGAGAGCACAGCGCACGTAGTAGCAGTCGGAAAAAGCCTCCAGTCTTGTGGTCGACCATTATGAAGTACTCGTTGAGAGTCGGACTTGTCTTGTTGAACGTCCAGTTTAGATCTAGTGCCTGGCCGCGAGCAAGTGTTTTGATTTCGTCTACCAATCCATGTTAGCATAGAGTAGACCACGGGACAGGCGGATTTACCTAGTACTATTTTCAAACAATCGGGACCAAGATGCTTAAGAGTACAGCCTACGGCCTCCGCATGCAGAAACGTGGCGGTGTTGACTGTCTGACCGAGTCCGAATTGGAGATGTGCAGCGGGTTTACCCCGGCGAAGTGTTGAACCGTCCTCGATATCGTCAAGTCTGCATAATTAGCGAGTTGGCTTATTCTGGTTGGGTAGACTTACAGCAGTGTTGAATTGAAAAGCATGACCGTGACCTCTCTCAGGACTGAAGAGATATCATCTGATACATTGAACCACACTCGTAGGCAATTCATGAATTTGGCCAAGGTGTTTTTGCCAGGAAGCGCCTTTATATAGTTGAATGGAGCCATGCAAATCTGAAAAATTAGCTATCGGTAGCAGATGAGGTGAAAAACTAACCTCGTCGGCATCAGCAACCTGAAAAGGTGCGCAAACATCGATTTCCAAGACAGTCCCGTTTGCCGCCTTGGGTCTTGAACATTTTGTTTCATGGCTGTCTCCATTCGCCGTCTTTTTTTGGTTCCCATCGAGTGCTGCCGGAGGCGGATGTCCTTCTAGTTTAAGGACCAGGTCCCGTCGCGGTTGAAGCAACCGAGCTCGGTCCTCGGCAGTAGTTGTAAACCCATCATCGCTATATCTGGGAGTTTGGGCCTGCCAGTAATTTGCTCCGCCAATTGATAGAATGAACAGAATGAGGTAGGAGCGAAGATCATCCGATTTAGGCACGGACGACTTATCCCATTGACCGTATCGCTCCATCAGGTTCTTTTCCGCGGCAAGTACCTCTCGTTTCAGAATATCCCCTGCCTCGAGCTCGGTATACCCATATTCAGTCATCAGCAGTGCCATTGCATTGTGGAATGCATCAAGGCTACCAGAACGAAAATGGTCATCAAACTCTCGATGAAAGCTGTAATAGTCGTTTGACAGGGATAAGCTCAAAACACCATAGCCGACCATTTCCGACAAGGCTTGCCGTTCATCTTCCCTCACCCGCAGGCCCTGCATGTAAGCAACGAGCTCGTAAACTTGTCTGATCCAGGTCAGCGAAGAGCTGAATCCGTAAGTTAGAGGCATCGCTCACCTGGCAATGGAACTCTCCATCCGAGCTTTCTTGTACTCTTCGAACGACATGCCGGACTGGCTGCCAGTCGACTGCGCAGTAATCATCTCTACCGACGTTTTGAGGAGCAGTGACTTTATATCTGGCGTGAAGTCGGGCAAATTATTTAACAACACTTCAAATCGTTTGCTTATATCATACTCGAACACAGCTGGTTGACCAAGTTTCCACATCGACAGGACGCCCAAGGTGTAATCAGTGAGGACGTCTTTTTTCTACTCGGCGTCAGTACCTTCCCCTTGAAGAAAAGGCGAGGAATCTTACGCTTTGTGCATCAAGCGTGTCAATGTCATCTATAGGTCATAAGAACACGGTACCTCAGTAGTAAAGGGAGGCTTGATTACCGTCATAATGCAATACCAGTTCGCACATCTCAGCCATCAGAGGTATCAACGCAGGTGGCAATTCAGGCGCACCCAACGAGATCAGATGGCCGGTAGAAGTGATACATCCCCGAGAAAAAAGGGTCTCTGGACTCTTGGACGAGTTTTGAGCGACTCTTTTGACTACGTCAAGCGACGTAGACGTGGCCGTTTCATGGAATCGCGATTTGCGGTAGGGTAGGCTGTTGAAGAACAACGGGGGAAGTTGTTCGTTTGGATCGGGAGGATCTGAGTAGAGATAGCTGTATGAAAGGTCAGGAAAGTCGGACATGCTAGCTAGGACTAGAGTATCAGCGATGCTTGGAATAGTAAATGTGTTTTCAGGTACTCGGGCGGACGGACTCGGGGGATTGGGCTTCTTATCGAGACTGTCCCTTCTGAAAAAGCAATCCAGCGTCCCCATTCAGGCGGTTAACGATTGGCTGCTCTGGCGTGTTGTGCAGAATAAGTATGCACGTCCCTCCACGTTGCCCATTAGATATTCAGAAGTGATGGTCTCAGAAGAATGAATTAGTCCGGACGCCTTTTTAGCCGCTAGTGGTAGTATATTTCAATAGATGGTGATTGTGGCTTGCTTGCGGGGCTTCGGGCGTACTTTGGTGACGACTGGCTGGTCATTTAGAGCAGACTTCTATTTTTCGAAGGAGCACGCAACGCCGAAATCTCCGCGGAGGTCTTTCTCGAGTACATGGGAAGCGAGATGGTTGGGGATACCGCAGTCACGAAGACACTGTAAGTCCTTTGACGACTACTCGGTCTCCGTGAACCCTTATGTAAGTGATTTACTACGTTAGTAACATGAATGTTTTGCTAGTGTATCTAAAGGGTGACTACAATATCACTTAAGGGTAGGAAGGCCGTGAATGCAGTTGGCAACATCGCGCCAAGGTATACAAAACCACCTATACTTTGCAACTGCGCCTAGAAATAGTATACTGTAGACTTGATCTAGATAGTGACGAATTTGCAGCAGTCTAGCTCATTCAAGAATTCAACCTGGCCATTAGAACGATGATCAGAAAACCTTTGCTACTCCGTATTGTGTGCCGACATCCCCCTTCTCCATAGAGAAATAGCGAAGCAGCTCGCTGGAAAGACAATCATCCTACTTAAGAGATTGCGATGTTGACATAGAAGACAGTGTTATCATCAGTATTTCTAAGCTGCCAGTGGTCAGAACGGATCTCTCCGTATATGTTGTACGCAGACAAATAGGTAGTTCACCGAGTGGATATGAGAAAAGGAGCAAGCGCCAATGGCTAGGTAATCTATATTCTCATTATATTGGCCTTAATGCTACTTAGCTTCAAAGTATGATGCTTATTTTATTCCAATATAGCAGAGAAAGCAACAGACCAGAGAATACATTCACAAAATGGGGATATGATCAAATTGGCCGGTTTTAAGCACACGACCAGCGAACAGGATAAGGAGATCTTGCAAGAACGTACCAGGATATGTCTCTGATGCCAACGACTGTATCAGCTGGTCCAATATGATTCTGCGTTATATTAAAGAATTCCTGATAGTGGACCGACTCAAGCGACAGTTGTCCTCAATATAAGGTATCGGATAGGAATTTCCTTTTTGGGTAAGTGTTGTCGGAGTACAATCGGACTGAGTTACGAGCGATCCAATATACTAGAGCACTCTGATTCTTCTTCACCTCGTCCATCAAAAAAGCAATTGATTTTACTTACTTTCTAAGTACTTATATCTAAACCCGATTCGATGTATCGACGGAATGGGAAACCCACGTCGTGTGAGCCCTGTCGGATCTCCAAAATCCGCTGCGACCATGCACCGGTCTGTGGACGATGCAGGGCTCGTGGCATTCCAGAACAGGTAAATAACGCCATGATTTTGGAGGTCGAACTCATGCTCTACAGTGCTTCTATCATCCAGCTCCGATGACTCGCCCGAAAACGAAGTATCGGTACTACCACGTTGAAAAGGACGCTGGCCGATCTTCGAGGAGCGCATCGCCTGAAAAACAACGGAGAAGTGGAATACCTGTAGGAGGGCAACGACAGAGTCTCGAGGAAGAGGGTACAAGTCCTGACTTGAGTCCGTCAGGATATGTCGGCTCTTCTAGCATTCTTTCTATATGTCCGAGATTCTCGCCTGTCATCTCTCGCAAACCAGCCATCCTCGGGACAAGGACCCTTGGCCGTTCGATTTCGTGAAGCAGAAATTCAGAAAATTGTTGACGTCTTCGGAACGTGTAGACCAACTCATTACTCAATATTATGATAGCGGTCGTTTTACCGTCATCCCGCGGCCTTTGATAGTCGACCCGATCTCCGCGCTTCTTTGCGAGTTGAGTGCGAGTCAGAATGCAGAAGCGATTTTGGATCATCATCTTGAAAATGCCAGACGAAATCTACACAAGAGATTTCCATCCCTCTCGACTCATACAACAGTTCCTGACTTCCTTGGATATTTCAATGCTGAAAATCTTCGACTGGAGTTTGTTGGCCTCATATTTGCTCTCGCGGGAGTCGCCGTTTTCTATAGCCAGCAGAACCTTGCTGCAGAAATGTACACTGCCAGCAAGGTCTGCGTCGGAATCTGTGAGGAATACAATCAGGTGAATGATCTTACCGTTTGGTCGCGGTATATGAACTTTATTTTAGCATCGATTCTTTTTGGAGACGCAAGTATGGTCCTCTCTCCCTCGCCTTCCAGACTTGAAGATGCTCACCAGCTGTTGCAGGTAATATTCTATACCACCGAGCCAACGAATTTACGGCCGAATTATTCGTCATGGGTTTCCATCGGCTCATATCCTCGCCACCTGATGTTCCTTTCTTCATCCTGGAGACCCGCAAGAGAATTTTTGCGTCGGCCGTTACTATGGACAAAAGTCTTTCTACTTTCCTTGGTAGGGCTCCGCGGATAGATAGCCATTTTTGTGATTTGCCAACCCCGTCCGATCTAGACGATGAAGAGGTCTTGTTTGAGAGCAGGCGACTCGATGCGGCTTTGCAAGACCTTGACCGGGATGGGTGGAAGTGTCCTAATGGAAAAGATAAGCCCATCCGGCCAGCCAGTTTGATTCGACTTCGGTACCAACAAGCTCACCTTCGTGACAAGATCCTACACCTGTCATTGGGGAACAGGACGAAGACTTCCTCGGAAAAACTCTCGTATGTCATACTCGCTATTTACCATGCCTCGCTAATCAATATGTAGGACTTTGTACGGAGAGTATCAGGAAGCGTGGTCAATGGTCCCACCGCAATACCGCTACAACGAAAGCGTCTGGGAAACGTCGAACCCGCAATTATGCGTGGCACTTTTGATTGTTCATCTAGACTATCTTTACAGTGGTTTCTTGATCGAACGAATGCTCACTCAAGATGGTCAAATGACTAAGACTTGCCTCCTGGCAACATCAGCGAAGCTGCTTTCGGGCGTACTTGAGTTCGTCCAGCAGCAACATTGCTATCCTGAATTACGCGAGCGGTTTACATGGATGGTGCGCTCCCGTCCTTGTATCATGACTGCAAGCTAATCCCAGTGCTAGTTCCTTTTTTACGGCCTTCCAGGTGCTGGGACCCTTGCCACCGAACTTCATCATAGCACTCTTCGCGGACTCCCATTACAAACCTCTATACCTTGCGCCAATATCATCCGCGATTTGAGTGTATTACTGGCATGGTTCGAGTGCAAATGCTTTCCCGATCGGCCTGACTTTCTCGTCTGTGTTCAGATTAGCAAAGTCATTGGTGCTCTTTTGGATGATACATTGAACAAGGGGGGACCTCCATCTCAGATGGCAATTCCACTGGAAAAGCAGCAGCCAAATCAGGACGCGCCGAGCTTATCTCATCCTCGTCCTGAAAGCCACAGCCACCATGCGATGGTCCAGCCGCTTCCTGACGCAATGACAAGTCAAGACTTTCTTAACTGGTTTGACGATCTGGTGTGGGACGACCCCTCCATGAACTTTGACTCCATCGGTTAATAAACCTTTAGCGAGCATCTTTGAATTGATTTGAGGTCGGTGTTCTTAATTGTTCTATAATCAAATCGAAACGTGATATTGACAGGGATACTTGGAATGACTCCATTGTCGGGCACCGTTTGGGGCTTTGTGCCGTACCCTAGATACTTCAAACGGAGCGACCGACTCAATGATAACAACACCGGATATCTACCAGACACCGCTTATATGCGGACAAATAACCCAGTTTGATCTATTCCCGGTAGCAAGCGATGTCCCTTGAAATACGAGGTCACCTGATAATAGACATATAAGTCTTCCCGTCATTGTCCAACCCCTCATTCTCCAAACCACTCCCATCGCAAGTCTCTTAGCCAAAATGTCAACCGCAACAAAGATTCTAACAGCACAATGCCACTGCAAATCAGTGCACTTCAATATCAGCATCCCTGTAACATCCCTCCCCCTGTCAGTCCACCTCTGCCACTGCAACGTCTGCCGTCACCAACGTGGAACCCTCTGTGTCTTCCATTCCCAGCTTCCAACCGGCGTAAGACCAGATTTCATAGCACCATCGAGCATGGCAAATATAACTCCCTATATTCGGCCCGGGTCGCCAGCAAAGAGATACTTCTGCAGCACATGTGGTTGTGAAATTGGCGGTGAAATGATGGAAAGTGGTGACTGGGTGATCTCAACGGCCATCTTCGACGCCAACCGTGATGATACGGGGATCTGGGATATCAAAAAACACATATATACCGAGCCTACGCTGGATGGCGGGTTAGCGGAGTGGTTACCACGAATCGGGGAGAAGGAGATGACAGTGTGGAATCCGCCAGACGACACAATCGATCATCCGCAAGAGATTGACGGAAAACTATTGGCGCAATGCGACTGCGGAGGTGTATCATTCCATATCTCCCGCCCAACACAGGAAATCCTCGACGACCCAGAGATGAGACGTAAATGGGTATCCCCCGTCGATAAAACAAAATGGATCGCCTGTCTGGATGCCTGCGACACATGCCGACTCACAGACGGGGCTCATGTGATAGCATGGACGTTTATCCCGAAGAAACTCATCACGCCGGCGATTCCGGATGATCTACTCCTTGGTTCGTCCAGGGGCTATGTCTCTAGCAAGGGAGTGCGGAGGACGTTCTGCGGGACTTGCGGCGCGAGAGTCTTCTATGACTGCGATGGACGGGAGGAGATAGTGGACGTGGCGATAGGGCTTCTCCGGGCGCCTGAGGGTGTCAAAGCGGAGAACTGGCTGACGTGGAGGACCAAGCGAATGGCCTTCCCGGAGGATGGGATGCGGTATGATCCTGTGTTGACTGAGTCGCTTCGTCGAGGATTCGAAGAGTGGGGGAAGCGGAAGCATGGAGACTTGCTTGATATTACCATTGAATAGAACTGTATGATCTCGAAGGTGGGATGTCAAGATAAAGTTGCTAATAGAGAGAGGACTCTCACTTACGGTCTCTCCCTGAAGCTTCGTGATGCCACCTGCCTTTTCCCTTGACCTTCTCTCCGTACAAGCTCGGTCCACTTCTTGTTGTTGGAAGTTAAGCAGACTGGACCTGCATCTTGGGATTCCCTCCTATAGTTTCTAATTGACGTCCTAATAGTAAAGCAACTATATTCTTTCGCCATTACCTTGATCATAACCTTAATTCTGACGCCATGCTACATATCATAAGAAGCAAGAGTATACTCCATCTATAAATCAGCTCTGATTACCAAAAAAAGGTGAATTTGGAAAGGAGACAGCTTTTTACATGATAGCAGTGAGACCTAAGCGTGCTCTAGGCATCATTTAGAACATGGTAAGCATTGTAGATATAGTGATAACTCAAGTAAAGAATACCCACTAGTAGCTAAGTAAGCAGAGAGAATAGGAAAGAGAAAGTATTTTCATCTTTTAAGACACTTAGAAAGCGAACACATTTTAATATATATATAACTCTCATATATTCACTCCCCTTGGAGGTATAACTCAGCCCTACCATCTAATCTATAGCTTATATTCACTAACTGGTTCTTTACCAGTGAGTAGAGAATATAGAATGAGTCTCGTAAGTCCTGGCATCCCTTAGTATAAAAGACTGATCTTCCCCCTTTAACTCTCCTTTCTATTCTACATCTTTCCACTTGCTATTCATCCGTTTGCCAGTCTTAAGAGACCCGATTTCAAATCTTTGCCTGACAGCCCTCTTCGCTCTGGAGAAACATTTGCTCCCCTTTTTACGGAAGGTACCGTGTCTGTAGGGATTTTACCCTATACAATGAAACACTTCCATGATGACCATGGCTTCAGTTATCGCTGTGGTATCAGGCAGTGGCCTGGTAATCGGCCATTTGCTTCTCTTGCTTTGGAGAAAAGTCCATAAAGGAAGAACTCTCAGATATTTCGATCCTTCCCTAGTTGGCGATACCCTCGAGGGCGTTGCGTTCTCCAAATCATTGACAGCAACAGGAACAGAAGCAACAACAATGGCAAAATGGCCAGTGTAAGTACTACAGCTTCTAGATATCTTTCTTTCTCAATCAAGTGGCTTTCAAAGCATGCAACTAGGCTAACATGAGTTACTATAGAAACACTACACTTGTTGGGTCTGCGAGGAGCGGGGGCACATGGACTGGCAGTTTGTACAGGGAAAGGCGGCGGAGCTGGTGATTTGGTGGAGGCTCGCGGTATGTACATTACCCTACCTTATACACGTAAAATCGCCACTAACACCTGATGCTATAGCTGCAGATGTCGTTTCAGCAGCTGCTGGGCCAGCGTGGAGGTTTCCGTCGGGGTCGTGGTGGTGGCCAGGCCTTGCATTGCCTCGCAGAGCTTGATTAACGCCCTCGTGCGAAGATAGAGGCAGTTTGTTGCAACCACCACGGCCCCAATGTTCGGCAGTGGTACTTCTTGCATCTGACCAGGTAAGTTCATCTTGTGAAGAGCAAATTGGGGAGGACCTGTTGACTAACCAAGAATAGCCCGCCGCCTCCAGACCCCCGCAGCCCAGCTAGGACGCTTGAATACACTTCAGAAGAAGAATGATGATGGTTAGCGGCCACCCAGTAGGTATGTCGTTCCAGATGGAATCTTGTATATGGCAGAGCATGTGAGTGTCTAACGATGAACAACAAAGCAGGCGATAAATGGAACTTGGAGGCCTACGACGAGACCACCGAACTCCCATATCCCGAAGAGTTTTCTGAATTCTTTACCTTCCTCGGTGAACGCTCTCTTTGCTTAGAAACAGGCTGTTTACTCATTCACAAAACAGACAGAGCCCTTGAGTACCTAGAACTCGCCTATGATGGCTCCACGAAAGCCGAGGCGCAAGTCCGCGCACGCCTCGACATACTTCCTGGGTTGGTGCTGGGACTCACGAAGGAAGACGGTCGGATCATAGAAGCAAATTCAGTGTCATGGGGCTATACGACCCCATTCTGGAAGACAATCCAGGTGAAGTTTCGGAATAAACTGCTGCGCAGTCGACTTGACTATGCACTCTGGAGGGCAGTGGCCGCCGCTGCCACCCCGCAGGTAAGTCATTCGAGATTGAATCTTGAATATCGCAGAGCAAATTGTGGCTAACAATGAGCAGCAGTGCCACCCCCCTTCTCGCCGCCCCGTTTGGCCATGTAAGTGATTGACCTTCGAAATTGAACAGTCCGATTATTGAGTAGCCCCAGTGAATTTACAGCGGCCAAACGTCGCCCTCCATCCGGAGTGAGGTGTTTTCAATGGACACACAATCAATGAAGAGTATATCCTCCCACCACGGGTAGGGAGCTCATAGTCAGGGTGAGTCGTCCATGCCTACAGTTCCAAAAGATGAAACAATCACTGATTGATTGTGTCGCAAAGCCGCCATCCCTGGCAGCCCTTCACACTCTGTCCATCCTTCTGCCGCCTTCCAGCCCCTCCTTAGCCGGCTCGATGATCGCGCCGCAGCCTCAGGCTCCAGTCCACAGCTACCTGGGCAGATTATAGAAGCAGAAGAAGGAGTGCACGGCGTCCCAGCCGATTGTGTGGCATATCCCGCCTAGTAACGAGGGGCAGGAGATGCTACAGGTTGTGGTTTTCTCGAAAGGAAAGAGGGCAGTCTTCTTCCAAAATGCAGCCCCGAGGATCCTGAGGAAGAGAGAGGCAATACTGAAGAGGTCCCCGGAAATGGGATATTCTACTTGATTTTATATTATTCTGTCCATAATGATGTTTCCAGTCAACTACGTCTTTTCCACTACGATTACAGTTTCTCTTTCGTTATCTTGCGAGTATGCATGCCATCAATTTCGCCGCATTGGGTTTCAAATCTAGCCTTCATATGAGAGAAACGAACTGTTGTCTCTCGCGCAACATGTACACATGTAAACCGGTACTCTGCGCCCTAGTCCAGGTCAAGTCTACAAAACGGTTCAGCAATATTGGCGAGTATGACCTACTTGGTCGGATAAATGCTCCAGACATAGGTCCCGTTATCATGCATGGTAAACATTCTTGCAACTGATGGGCTGGTTGTCGCGATTCTCATGCAAATACTCTAACCAGTAAATCGCAAAGGTCTCGGATGGGTTGCTGGACGGTCTTTCAGTGAAGTTCTACTCAGTTAATGTCAGGAAGCACGTTTAAAGCTACTGTCACAAGTCGGAACATAATCAATATCTGTGCCAATGGTTTTTCGACAGTAGAGAAGAGACGGCGCTGCCAGTGACCTTGGGGCAGATGCGGGCAGATGCTACGCTTGAAGCAACAACGTGCAGCAACGAGAGTATGATAATTCTGTCTTTTTCGTTGAGGATTGATCGGCTACGATACCAACTGGCGTCAGCGTTGGCAGCGGGGTTCGAGAAGTATAAAATGTCGATGGGAAACTTTAGTGGTACAACCGATGTTCTTAGGGTTTTGTATAATCACCTGAGTCAGCACCCCGATCAACGATCGGATCTTCGAGTCATGTACAGAGTAACCCGAAGCGCGGAACACGGAACACCCTCGGTACTCAAATATGAAATACCCCCGTCACACTGGGGTTTGACCGGACTTCATAGACAACTTCAAAACTAAATCTCTGAGATTTGTAATGTTTTCCCCGAGTGACTTAGCTCAACAGGCTTGTTGCTGTACGCAGCACATGCAAGCGTTCAGCGGTGGGTCCAACAAACTTCCATCAAGTGGGACTGCATTGTAGATCTTCATAACGGAACGGCCAACCATTGATTGTGGCCAGTCGTTATACGAGGTTTCATGATAGTTTGCCCCAGTTGACTTGTTCAGGTTGGCGGTCTCTCAAGGAGTGTTTCGGTCGGTGGCCGATGGGTTCGGATTGCTGGTTTTGGCTTTGTTCGTTGGTAGTTTTCTTCTGCTTGATTAATGGAAAACCATGTGCGATCGATGTTGTTGTCTCATTCGAGCCTCGAAGCAGGGGGGAAGATTCGCTGAGGCATGAATGTGTAATTAAGGGTTTGTTGAGGCTAAGTCGAACATACATCATCATCCAAGATTTCCGTAAATTACATAGTATCTAACAAAGGAAAAAAAGGAAAGAAGTGTTTTGAAATATAAGAGTGTAAGACAATTATCTGCTGAACCGATTTGGCTTCCGTAAAGTTTCCTCTGGCTCTGCGGCTTCGTGCGTGATCTCAATGGTCGTTTCCTGGTATACTCCGTGGGCCATATTGCTCAGCTCCATGTCGCCTTTCGGGCCTTTCGGCACAATATCTTCTGTTGAATCGCCTCGGTCATCGAGCATCGTATCGTTGATACTTTGCAAGCCACGGCGGAGGCGAGACTTGACCCGAGACTTCTTGCTCTCAGGACCGGCGACGGTGGTGCTGACGTGCGTGTTGTACAGATTCGAGCCGGTGTGCGCGTAGTAACGATCCGACGTGCTGACCTCGGTGTCCAGCAGCAGATGCCGGCGGGTCAAGGTGTACACAATGACATCCACAAGTCCGGACAGAGCCATGAGGGCACCGGCGGCGGCAAAGTATTCCTTGCTGGGAACGACATGCCTGGCCGTCGACATTCGCCCCGCAGCCAGAGGAAGGGAGAGAAGAACGTATACCAGAGGATAAATAACCATGTACACGACGACTCGGTTCAATCGGTTAAGACTTTCCTGGTGGTTTTGTCGAAGGGCCGCTGCTTGTTTCATCTGACGCCGGAGATAAAAAAACATGATGCCGTACAGAATGATCGTGCCAAATTCGGAAAGGAAAATCCATAGATAGTGTCCCCAGAGCCGCTCATCTTGGGCTTGCGGGCTGAGCCAGCACTGTTGAGAGTCAGTACGTCCAGTCTTCATTCCTCGTCAAGGTAGTCCGTGAACAACTCACCCAGCCGGCTTCCGAAATCACAAAGGTCTTCGAGCCATACAATCCGACGGCAATCAATCCGAGCAGAATGATGAAAGCCCAGAGCCCAACGACACACCAGACAAACGTCGTAAACGGTAATTGCCGCCCACGTAGCACAACTGCACAAGTATGTATCGCAATGGCCAACACGAATAAACCACTTCCTGGATCTGCGGTCTGAATCCACCACCCTTGGAGAACGCATGCCGCGCTGGGATAATTTACACCGCCACGGGCGACCCAATGCAGGCAGAGCAAGAACGCCGTTGCTTGTTGAATGTCGACGAGGAGGAGGTTATAGATGAGCAGGACATATTGATTGTGCGCAAGAGGACGCTTGTAGTAACGCTGCCAGAAAATGAATCGGTACGTTAGGAAGGAAATGAGCGAGAATGTAGCGATCCATGAGCAGAGAGCGACTGCTCCTATTGCAATGAAGCCCGCCCGAAGGCTCCCCGTCAGAGGCTCGTCGGCGAACGTCGGCGGGTGAACTTCCTGAGAACGAGCAGTGAGGTACGGTTTGTCGCCATTTTCGCTTCGCAACAGTAGCAGCGTTCGAACCAAGCTAGTCATCCTCGTTTATCATCACCCGTTCAAGGCTGGTTGGTGATGCGGTCGGTGAGAAGGATGCCAGACTGATGGAGTTCGGCGAGTAGGTGCCTAATTCCTAGCATGACAGGTACTCCTGGCTCTAATATGGAGTTTTCAACCATGTCAAGGCGAAAGCTTTTATTACTTTGGCTTATGCCCAGCTAGTTAGACAGATGGGTCAAGGTCTTGGGAGAACCATGGTCTCGAGGTTTCGTTCTGTAACTGTCCAATTCGCTAGACAAGCGAGAAGTGATGTTTTAGGGATGAATCTAGCCTAGGCTATCGTCGAAAGCACCTGTTGAGGGCCACATGGCAGGGGATAGTTCCCCAGCGGTCTAGGAGACAGGACAATACGAGATCCGCAAGAGTGGCAATATGGCTCTGTTGTCTCCACAGGCGATCCACCAAACAGCGGTCTCGATCCGACGACATTCCAGATACAGTAGATATTAGATAGATAGTGCTATCCGATATGTAGGAACTAAGCCATGCCAATTTTGGCCGGCTGTCTGGGCGCAAAACACGTGGAGTCAGGCTGGGGGTCAAAGCACACATTGACCTGCATCTAGGGCAAATTTGAGCGTAAAGGACCTGCGTGGCTGCGAGAATGATGACTTTCCTGGCGAGCATGGGAGCAGATCTCGAGGCGAAGATCCGCTTTACCATGGGCTGGATCCAACGCAGTGGTAGTCTTATTGATCAGCAAATAGTCCGTGGCTCTGTAGGGTGTTAGACTGCCAGTAGTGACATCAAAATCTCCGCGGTTGATCACGAGCAAAAGTCATAATGGGAGATATGGTACCTAGGTAATACTTATGCACGTTTTCCAATCGAATCGGGTTTAGAATTGGAACCACCAGTCTGGAAGATCATATCGATCTGCATTACTATTGAACGCAGAGATGATCTCTCAACTCTTGTTCAATGGTCCCTGAGAAGAATACAGGGACGTTCAAGATCTGCCTGTCGAGATCATAAGGTGTCCAGGACTCAAGGTTCGACGAGACCACACTACTAGCAGGCAATGTGGAGTATTAGATTGCCACTCCTTTCAAAGCAGCTGTGCCTCAGCCAATTTTGGCGCTGCAGAGGCCAATAAAAGAAAAAGCTCCTTCCGACATCAGCAAGCGCGCTTTTAGAAGCTGTCCTTGGAGACACCCACCAGCCAATTGAATTGGCATGGCTAGGACAACCAAATGAAGTTGCACTTGAGAAAAGGAATCATGACCAGAGGCAGACGACAGGCCAACGGTTCCACTTACTCTATCGGGATAATGCGATGGAGATACCGATAGGTAATTTAGGACAACTAACGAATCTCCATCGCGCTATTACGCATATCATTCTTAAAATGCATCGCCCTCCGAAGTCGAGCCGTAGTCTGTGGAAGATCGACTACGCATAACTGCACCAGTGCCGAAATGGAACTTTCTCCGAAGCCCCAAAGCTCCAAAGCTTGTGGGTTAGGATTTGATGTGTTTCCGTGGAATCGAACGTTCAGGATAGTAGACGGCAGGGTCCGGTCAAGGCTCCGTCGAAAGCTTAACCTGTCATACGCCGATCCCCTCCCCTTAATTTGAGCCAGGAGAACTGCATGTTTACCATGAGGAAACAGCTTTAATTTCATGATTTGACTGGATACCGACAAATGGCCGCATTCAAGGCCAGCGTCGCGGGGATTTCCCGTTGATCCATCGATCTCATCTAGAATCTGGATCAGGAAAGCCTCGCGAACAGCGGCGCACTGGCTCAGTTGCGGCGGCTTGGAGGCTGGTACTAGCGTCTAGCACGCAAAAGACATTTTTGTTTAGAGTTTACTTGTGGAAGAGATTTTCGAATGATAATTGATGACCTCGGTCCAGAGAAACCTCTAGAAATGGATATCCATTGATCCGGTCGGTAGATACCGTTTTCCGCAATAATAAGAGTAATCAAACTATCTGCTTATATCGACTTAGTCCAGGTAACCTGTCAAATGTTTGTCATATATTTGATGCACTCACACAATAGCCATAACAATCTCGCTTATGAGAATATGTTTATTTTGGAATGGCTTCTCGATGGTCCCTCTCGTTCGGAAGCTAGCGACCGGATATTACCGATGGATGAACCACAGCTTCTCATTGCCTCATGCGTGGTCCAGACATGATTGAGGTCTTGAGGTCATATTTCAGTGCGGAATTGCTGATGCTCTCCTTGCCATAGAATCGAGAAGCTCAATGCCAAGGGCTATCCTTGCATCCGGTGGCAGCTTGGGTGAGACCGTCAGAATGTATTTTTAGGAACAAGCATACCATACCACACGTGAGACGATTTCCTGTTTTGTCACTTAGCCTCATCGAATGCTTATGGTCTGACACCTGGCAAACGGTGTGGAGTGCTCAGCCTTAACCGGAATCCCTTCGATCAAGGTTCGAACTTTGGATCCTATCGATCAATGTGGCGTCTGACGGACAGGAGGCCTTACCTAGTGGTCAGTTCGTAGGCGTACAAGCAAGCCAGAATAGGCATGGTTATTATTGCTTGGCGATAATGCTCAGTCTAAGGCGCCTCGTTTATCGGGACCTCCATTCATTCAACGGAGCGGTATCATCCACTCAGTGCACTCTCCCGCAGTTGTGTATCACAAGAATGTCTCAAAAGATCGACGGTGTCACCCGAGGCGGGTGGAAGTTGCTCGAAGAGGGTGAAGCTGTATGTCTCATCGCGGGGTGGACTCAACCTCATCAGATGACCGAACGTCACTCGAACGGGTGTCAGTTGCAGAGTCTTGGATCCCCGCATTTGGCACTCCACTATCATCTGTAGGACCACTGTCGTGTCATGGCAACGATTCCTGCACCATGTCGATCTCAGTTGCCTAGTAACTTTCCACGGCCAGCTGAGGGGGTGTCTCACTCAGGTCGCTATGCGATTGCTCCGGTTTCTGAGGATCGAGACTTAGGCCTACCCATGGGTTGTGATGGATTCTTCCAGTGTCTCTCCTCTTCGGCATGGCAAGACGCCTGATCTGGTCGCCAGTATTCGATATGTCATTGCTAATAATAGACAAGAGGAGCAGGACAGACTGGGAAAGAGAAGTATATAAAGCTTCAAGACCCTAGATACCACAGCCAGGAAGATAGCAACACCAAAGCATCCAACCACTCAATCTCAATCTTCTCTATCAAGGCACTTCCTTTCACAAAGCCACTCGTCCTCTCAAGATGAAGCTCACTACATCCATCTCTCTCCTCTCCCTCTTTCTCTCCTCCGCTCTCGCGGTCCCGACCCCAGAGACCGAAGCCAGAGCTGCGATTCCCGTCTCCGTCTCCTACGACCCGCGCTACGACAATGGCGGCAGCTCGATGAACGACGTCTCCTGCTCCAACGGCGTCAATGGCCTCGTGACCAAGTGGCCTACCTTCGGCAGCGTCCCCGGCTTCGCTCGCATCGGTGGCGCCCCTACAATCCCGGGCTGGAACAGCCCTAACTGCGGAAAATGCTACAAGCTGCAATATAACCAAAACACAATCTACGTTACGGCGATCGATGCCGCGCCTGGCGGTTTCAACATTGCAACGAGTGCGATGAACCAGTTGACGAACGGAATGGCGGTGGAGTTGGGTAGGGTGCAGGCAACGTATGAGGAGGCCGATCCATCCCACTGTGCCTCTGGTGTATAGATGGATTTTTGGCTGCGGGGAAGACACGGGACAGATCAAGTGGTTTTCCACCAGTGCATATGCATAATGACTTGGGCTTTCAAGGCCTCTTTCAATCCTTAGACTTGTTGATTTATGTTTATATACAATCCTTTAATGTCATCAGAGTGAAGATTTCATACAGTCTATATATATGTACATTCTAGGGCATTAGTCATCAAGATATAACCTCCAACATCTCTTCCACTCGCCCAAACTTATCCCGAACTTTCCCCTTTTGCTGCCCCCGCTCCCGTTCTGCCTTGTCGATGCGTTCCCAGTCCTGCCAGGTTGTTGGCCGTAGCCCGCGTTTCTCCGCTTCGGGCCGTACACCGTCCCAGCCGAGACCGGTGCTATTGGCGGGCCCATTCAACAATGATCCTTTGTCTGCTTGACTCGCCTTGTCTGCAGCTAGAGTGTCAGCGGTGGTGAATGCATCAGTCATGGTTGTGGCGATGACACCAGTTGGGCCACGCTTGACCCAACCCGCACAGTAGAGCCCAGGCAGATGGGTGATCAGTGAACCGTTGGGTAGTCGCTCATTACCTCCTGCAGTGGTCGGGACGGTAACTCTACCGAAGCCGTCGTTGGGGAGCACACCGCGATCAGAGTCGAACTGGATGCCTAGATCCTCCAAGCCTGGTAGAGGGAGGGATTTGTAGCCGACACTGCGGAAGAAAGTGTTGGCGGGTATGTCGACTTGCGCCCGCTTTCCGCTTGAGAGGTACTGTGGTGTAATCTTAGCACTAGGTGTGTGAGGATTGCTCGGATCCAGTTCATTGCGGGAGAACCTGACGGACGAGAGGCGGTAAGGATGGACAGGCGACCAGTTCAGGCATTCCGGCGAAAGAAGGAAATCTAAAGACCATGATTTGGTTGCAGAATTGGGGTCATTGGTCGACCCCTTTGCCAGCAGCTGCATTAATCTTTTTTGTGCTCGAGGAAGCGTAGATATAACGTCTTCCGGTGGAAAGAGGTCTCGAGGAATTGGATCAAATGACACAGAAGGCAGCTGGAGAAGCTCTCGGACCTCTTTGATTGTAAAAGCGGCCTAGGGGCAAATTAGCTTTGCGTACCGCAGAGGAACTTGTCAAACGTACTTGCAACGGGCCCCGACGGCCTACAACCCGAACACGCTTGATCTTGCTTCTGACCAACTCCTCCACCGCGTACTCTGCGATATCTGTCCTTCGTAGAGTATCGATATCTGACAACAGTATCCTTGCGACATCTAAGGCAACGTTTCCCTGGCCAACAATCACAGCATCCTCACCGGCTGTAAGGTCTGGTGCCAGATCACGGTGCTCCGGGAGGCCATTGTACCACCCCACAAACTCGCGCGCCGAGTACACGTTCCGAAGTGCATCCTCACCAGGTATACCCAGCTTCTTATCTTTCGGCGCCCCGTATGCGAATAGAATTGCGTCGTAATGTGGTTTCAGCGCTTGGAGAGGGAGACTTGTGCCCAGCTCGATGTTGCCGATAAAGTTGAACCTCGGAGACGCTGCAACTTCGGTAAACTTTTCCTCGCAGTTCTATTGACAAATTGGAATCAACATGGTTTCCACAGGCTTGCTTAAACGCATTAAGCGTACCTTGACTTCCGGGTGGTCCGGCGCAACTCCGTACCGTGCCAGGCCAAAGGGGACCGGCAATTTCTCATACATATCCACCACGGCATCATCAACTTTAGACAGCAGTCTATAGGCTGCATAAAATCCAGCTGGGCCAGACCCTACAATGGCAACGCGAAACGGACGATCGGCCGGTATCGTCTGGCTCTGGTGACGGCGCTGGACTGTCAATTGCGCCAGTCGCTGAACATGTGGGCGATATAGCGACGTGTAACTAATTTTTGCGCTGCATTGGGCGCAAAAATAAGGAGCGCGTTTGAGACTCATCGTTATTCAATGGGGATATCCATTAGAAAGTAGGATTCTTAAAATAGACAACAGAAAACTACCTAGTCGGCTAGCTATGACTCCATTTCGTTCTGAGGCGCGCACGTGATCCTTATCAGTTGGTTGCCGCGCCGACTATCGCCAGTGTTGATGCTCCACCCGATTGGGAGCTGCCTTGAATGGGGCCCGATCTCTGATGATGATTATCATCTAAGGTAGACTAATATCTTGATGACAGTCTCCTCTTCTCCTCGTGCATTCTTCCCGTTCCATGGTTCTGCGCGTGCTTCTCGAACCACATCCCCATCGTACCTTGCATACTCCTTTTGGTTGAAAACCCCCCAACATTCCTTTCTGTCTGGGTCATTCAACGCCCACATTCCACTCCTCGCGTGGATGCGCCGATAAGCATCATTCACTGCGGCCATGGGGAGATCATTGCCTCCATTCCTTTACGGTCCTGCCTCCTCGCATAGTTTCTATGGACCGACGGATCGTCCATTCAATCCAAAGGCCGTGACGCAGGCGAGCTGGACTCGTCCGAAGCCAAAACCTAAGCAGAAAGGACCTTATGTTAGCTTCAACAGACACCCTGACTCGGTAAGTTAGTTCTTGAGCGGCTCTGGATGGGCCACACATGCTGATTAATACTCGATGAACAGTATTCGAACTTTCCTGACGGAGCATCCCGCTGGACCCCCATGAGCCCCAGCACAAAGGGGAGAGTGTTCTACGGTCGAAAGGTACAGCTTGGTCTGCGTGTGCTGGCTTTACTCGGCGCTCTCGGCTCGCTCTTTTGCGCCATTGTCATCAAAAATGTTGCTGTCACGATCATTTGGATCGTTCGAGTCGGGGTGAGTCCACAAATGTGTTGTGTCGCTAATCCAGCTAATGTTTGTGTAGCCTATCGTTGCCGTTCTTCATACCCTCTATGGAATCTACCACCTATGTCGCTCGCCTGTCAGCAGACCGGCTGGATCACAGGCCAGTTACATGGTCTTTGCGGCAACGCTTGACCTTGGCTTGGTTCCATACTATGTCTTCTCCGCATACATCGCGTACAAGCAGATCACCAACAATGCCTACCACTGGAGCACTCTGCTGAGCGCGGACGCGGGTATCACGGACAAGATCGCTCATTCCACTTTCATCCTTAGCATTGTCAACGGAAGCTTTCATTTAATCTCTCTGTGCATTTCCGTCTGGTTGGCTTTAATATTCCGGCAGATCTCCCAACTGCCTCCGGATCTCAATCCTCTCGAAGACAATCTGACTGCTCGTCCTCATAAACGAAACAAGTCGGAAATCAACGAAAAGCATCTCAGCCAGTCTACTGTTGCATCGGCCACGTCTATGGAAGAGCCCCTTATTGGCCCTGCTCGGCATGTTCCATTCATGCACACCCGCAACCAGTCCTCAGAAGATGGCTCGAGTCGGTTTTCCGTTATTAACGAGAAGAGGCGATCACAACAATCGATGTACAGTGACAGGGTTGTCCCACCCGTTCCGCCCGTCCCTCAACACTCCTTCCTGGCGCAGCATGACCAGCAGGCGTCGGTGCAATCACCCTTGGCAGATTCTCACAACGACCACACCCAGCAAGTCTCTCCTGATCTTCCTGACAGAGCTCAGTGTGTGAGCCCAGACTCGGACAACTGGATTGTCTACCCTTCTCGATCGCCCTCACCTGCAGAGGCTGGTTTAAATGAGAACCTAGCCCGTCGAGAACCCTCGTCTGCCTACAGTCAAGCAGAGAGCCTTATCTCTGCAGGTAGCAGCTTCAAGGACTGGCTTACTTCCGCGCAGCGCTACGAACTGCACCTTAACGAGGCAATCTCGGAGGACGTTCGCGGCGAGTACGAGTCACTCGCTTTGCACGAACACTATGCGAATGACGAGTACATTCATGATATCCCCCACGTGACACGACTATACGACAACGCCGAGCAAGACATTGGCGACCACAACATCAATATCTTCCTGGACCACAACAACCGCGAGCGACAATTCTCCGCCTCCCTCCAGGTCAACCCACTAGCCCTTAACCCTCCCACCCCACAGCCGGTCCAGGACGAGATCAACGACGCACCCCAACCGCCGACCCGTGCGCCTCTCACTGATATCCCGAACCTAGCTCCTAACCCTCCCGCTTCCCCTCTGTCCCCAGACAGCCCCGAGAAGAAAGGCCGCTTCTACGGAGAACTCAACAATAAGCCTTGGCTCTCCGTCGCGCGCAGTGTAAGCGGTCAGAACGATCCAGACTCGCACGACCTGGACCGGAAGAGGAGCAAGCTCGTCAAACGCAACAGCCAGAAACTAAGCACGTACGGTTCGCTCAAGCAGCATGACGCCGATGATCTGGATGTCGAAAATGAGATCCCCCCTGTCCCTACCGATCCTGCCCTTGCAGACGGTGATCGCAAGGGTCGTGTTGTCAGTAACTCCGGGGCTGACATCGGTCGGCATGACTTTGGATCAGGCTCCTCCTTGGCGTATGGTAATTACATCGCCAACTTGGGCGTGGGACGACGACGCGATGTGAGTGGAAAGATCGCCGAGGAAGGTAGAGGTGGTGTGGTCGCCGAGAGTCCGAAGCAGATTAGGGCTGCTGGCTGGGCTCGCTTTGCTGGGCTCTAAACTTGCAGCTCGGGATTCATGGCAATATTTGGATGATCAGATCTGTTGACGAGGGAATGGCCATTTTTATGATGGAATGGAATTGTAACGAGTTTAACGCGATGGATCTTCTTTCATGTTTGATAATACTTTTTTTTTGCATAAAGGTGTGTTAGGTAGTTAGTAGCTTCCTCAAATTCAATAAATATTGTTTCACAGCCATTAAAGACTTATATGAGCGTTTTATATCGAAGTATATGTGAGAATGGACGAGCTACGAAGGCACACCTTCGTACTCCCACCCTTGAATAACCCTTTTGCCTCTCCTCGAATTTCTCCGGTTGGCGTTACATTTAACAAACAACGTGAGCGCAGTGATGATGCAGATAACGATTCCGGCGATGGCAGCGACCAGCACCGTGCGCCGTTCTAGCTGGTGTGGATCGGCCACGTAGGGGCAGGGAGTATCAGGACCCCCTGTTACCCAGCAGGAAGCAACGTCTAACGAGTTGAAATCAAGCCAGACCTCGTACTTTGCGGGGTCCGTCGCTGTAGGGTCCAAGGTGTCCTTGGGTCCATCGAGCAGGGAATGGTATAGGTAGGTGTTCTCAAGGCCCGTCCGGGGTATGGAGAACGATGTATTCTCCGGGCAAGCGTGGTGATACGCGTCTGAGTACGTGTACGCTTGCGATGACAGGGACCAGGTGAAGGGATGGTTTCCCACTCGACAGGCGGCGTGACGCACTTCGCTGCAGTTAGTGGAGCGCCAATGGCCCCCCACTGAGAGATCCATTACTGCGCATCGCTCGATGTGCGGCGAGTCCTCGTCGATGCCGGGAGGTGAAGGGTCTCGCGGTTCACCAATAGCCCAGGACCACGAGGCCGACGTGGAGATGTTTTGGTACGGTTTTGCATCTGAATCGGCAGTCTTGTTGAATAAAGTGCTATTGAGCACCGGAGATAAGCCGCAGACGGTGAGGTTGACGACCAGATCGCATATTTCCCTTAGAGCCTTGGTTTCGTTTGAGCTGTTTATGATGGGTATGCTGCTCGATTGAGCCCACGACGAGTTGACTTGCGACACTGAGGTAGCTCCCGGCTGGTACAGACAGCCAGACGTCAAGCTACCATTATCAGTCGCTGCTATCGAGACGGCAGTCGTCAAATAATGAGGAGGAAATATGACGTCGTTGTCTGCGCTCAAGTCATAGCTCCCCAGCTGCGAGTCCACGGAGCCATATTCCACAAACAGTCGTCGCTGTTGCGCAAGTTGCACATATTTTGAAGAGGGCCAGCCATCCGGCGTACTTTGCTTTCCATCCGCATCCTCGTGAAGGGTAAAGTATTCCGTGATAGGCTGGTATCCATCGTCAACTGCATACCATGATTCGTTGAGGTCTTTGCGCTCCTTGGCTAACTCGGATGGCCTGTAGATGTACGTCGAAAGACGCTCATCAAACAAAGCGCTCACGTATTCTGAGGGTAACGGCAGCTGCTCGTTGGTCACGGATGCAGCTGGCTGATCTAAAGATGCGGCACTTGATGACACATGAAGGTTTAGGGTTATGGATGTCGTATATACATTCCACTGAGAATTGGTGAGTCGGAAATGCTCTGCGAAAATATCAAGTAGCCCAGAAAGGTCAAGATTATCGGAGCAAAGATAGGGACCGAGTTCGTAGAGTAGCGAGTCTGACGAATCGGCGACTGCTGTGACGGCGCCTGTGACTGCACTGGCCGTGGCTGTGGGAGAAGGCGTCGTCGAGACAGTGACAACTTGAGCGTTCTGCGGTTTTGCGACTGGGCAAAAGGTCCAATTTCGCTGCTCCACCGACCAGTATATATCAATCAGGAAACGACGGTAGCCGATAGCGAGCAAGTTCGAAATGCACTTCTGAGCAGCATTGTCACCGAAGATGTTTTTACCGAAGCATGCTGCCGTCAGCGAGACGGCCGGTACGGTAACGAAATTAATAGGAATCTGGCCGGAAACATCTCTTTCACTCTAGTGAAACCATCGTCAGTCATATTTCATGCAGTGTCAGTTCGCGAAGTCAACGCACGAGTAGGGCAGCCACCCATGTAGAGTTTACAAGGGAAGCATCAGGATCATAACTCAGGCCCATGGAGCTGCATACAATGAGCAGCACGGATCAAACTAGGCGATATTACTCATTTCAGGTTGTATTCGCGATTGAACCGAGCAATTCGAGTGATGGAATGGTTAGTCGAGGCTCAAACTGCGGAGACGCGGGCGGTGCGATTAGTGAATGACGATCGACCCTTTTCCTCTTTGGGCGGGCCAACACCATCTATCTGGCCACTTTGTGTTGTTCATCACTCCCCTGCGATTTTCCGGCTTCTTTCATCCTTTCAGCCAAAACACTTTGATACACTCCGCTTCCCAGCTTCATACTCATTATCTGGCCTTCATGTTTCAGTCTTTCCTCTCTTCATTGATTTATTGACGCAAAATTATCTAAATTCCCTTTCAACATGGCGGCTCCAGGTGGGCCTAGCCCGCAGCAGATTGCTGCCATGCAGCAACAGTTCGCCGCGGAAGCAGCAAGACGAGGAATGACCCCCGAGGAATTCGCAAGACAGCAGCGCGAACAACTGAACGCAGAGGCCGCGAAGCATGGCATGACGACCGAACAATACGTTCAGCAGTTGAGGATGCGAGCTATGGCCGCGCACCAGCAGCAGATGGCCCAGCAACAGGCTCAAGCAGCGCAGCAGCAGGGACAAGCGGGCCCTCAGCAGCAGCAGCAACAACAACAGCAACAACAGGGACAGCCTGGACAGCCCTCTCCACCCCAGCAACAGATGCAGCAAGTCCCCGTGAACCCGTCGAATCCTCCCGACCCTAAAGCGATCGCGGTCGCCCAGTTCCTACGCTCCCAGAACCTCAAGTCTCGCACGTGTATCCTGGATGGACAAAGAAAGGACATGTTCAAGGGTATCTACTCTCATACTCCTCCAACTCTCCGACTCAGTACTGACGAGTAGCATAGTCAAACGCGCCATCCGCGCCCTCGAATCCCCCGCCTACGCCAAAGCCGCCGCCAAAAAGAACTCCCTCCTCCCCCCCGTCACCGACCGTGCCTCCGCCGAAAACGTCTTCAAACTCCTCCCTCTCTCCCTTCTCGCCCTGCGCGTCTCCAAAGTCGACCCGCACGCCGGCCACAACCATGCCAAACCAAAGACCCGCGTCAAGGGCCTTTGGACCGTCAAGATCGAGCAGCACCAGGAGACAGACCCCATGATGCACTACGTCTGGCTCTACGAGGGACCCCAGTGGAAACAGAAGGCCATGGCCGCTGCCGTCGTGGCAGGTATCTTTGCCGTTGTCCTCTTCCCGCTGTGGCCCATCATGCTCCGCCAGGGCGTCTGGTACCTCAGCGTCGGGATGATGGGTCTGCTGGGTCTCTTCTTCGCCATGTCCATCTTCCGTCTGATTCTGTTCTGCGTGACCGTCTTCGTCGTGCCTCCTGGCCTCTGGTTGTTTCCTAATCTCTTCGAGGACGTCGGGTTCATTGATAGCTTTAAGCCTTTGTGGGGTTGGCAAGAGGTATGTCTTTTCTCTTCGTCAATCTTCCCTTTCGATCGACGTACTGACTTCTACCACAGAGCAAGAAGAAGAAGAAAAAGTCCAAGAAGGCCGTCGCTGGCGCTGAGACCGCAGAGCCACAAACTGCATCCGGCAAGGGAGATGATTCTAACCCTTCCGCAACTACGACAGCAACACCTGCCGCAGATTCCTCGGGCGTCGTGAAGCGCGATCTAGCGCCCAAGGTGGAAGAAGCCACTGAGGAGTAAATGGCATAGACGGGTTGCATCGGGCATGATCTTGGGGTGCATCGTATCGTATCAACGGCTTGCTTTGCCATTTTGGTCGTTCTGGCTGTTCTGGGTTCTATTCTGGACCTCGGCCTACGTGTTCATCGGATGAATAGCCACGTATGACTATGTTTCTCAAATGATATATGTTCCTTCGGGTTGGAGTAAGGTTTCACTTGTTTGAATTGATCAAATCCTCGTGGGTCATAGAGAATTTTGTAATTCTTGTACTATGATTCTTAATCAGGAGGATGCAGTGCCCAGTGCTGATATCAAACCTGAAGATTTTCACCGTGCGAATCACGCTAGGTTGAAAGATTTAACATGGAAGAAGTTAATCTCCACTAGATAATTGTACGAGGCATCAATACCCAACATAGACCCACATAAAAAGCATGTGAATAGAGAATAACGAAACAGAAGATAAAAAGGAATAGTTGAATATGGCAACGACGAGCAGCGCGGATATCTTCAACTGCTAGCTGTAGAAAAGGTCAAGACAGGGTAAATGCAATGACAAAGTAACAAAGGTGTCTGGTATCAGTGGTATATATACGAAAAGCAAGTCGCTGAGGCATCGCAAACGCAATGAAACTCCAGGCGTGAAGACAGAACCTCCCCAGTAGTGAGGGGAGTATAAAGCACTTTTCCAAAATGCGCAAAGCTATATTTTCGGGGCCGGGAAGATGTACAGGCGTCTCTATAATATCTACCGACGCCTAGAGATGCAGAATGAGCCAAGGAGAGAGAGGGTAGAGCAAATCGATGTGAGGTGGTATCGCTTATAATCCGGAAGATACCTGGGTATCTATACTTGGAGCAGCGGGAAGATTGGTATGGGACGTGGGAGGATTGATGCTAGCAAAGCTTCTTTGGCGGTCTCGTAACGTCTTCGAAGGCGGCAAGTGGGAGGAACGAGCTGTGAGGGAAGCACTTGGTAGCAGAACAGGCCTATGTGGATCGATTGGAGATGGGATTTTTGGCAAGGGGCAATTGGGGGGAGGTGCCGCTGGGGGTCCAACAGACAGTCCCGGCATGCTCTTGCGCCGGGCCATGCTGGGAGGACGACCGCCGTGGTCTGTGGGATACACTCTATCCCGTTGGAGCTCAAGGCGGGGCTGATTTCCGTAATTTGTGGTTGCTCCTGTGGGTTGCGGGTCAGATGGAAGCTTGGTTAACGGGTCAATGGCTATGCTCGGAGGGCGAAAGTGCGTTGTCATGGTGTACGTTATCGGTAAACGTGGGTTGGGTAGACTCCTGTGGTCATTATTTCTTTGCAGAGGATCTGCTAGCGAATCTTCGGAGTTGGATACCCGCAACTGTCGTCTAGGGGAGGCGTTGCGGACGGTAGAAGTATCCTCATGTATGTCGTTGAGGCCCATTCTACTTATGTTGCGGGTTGGCGACTGAGGTGGGGAGGGAAACGCAGACAAAGCATCGAGTTGCTCGTCAGAATCCTGATGACAGAGCCCATTACTCCGGTCACAGTCCAGACGAGAATCTTGAAGAAGTTGAGCTTGGGCGGTCTTCGCAGCAAACCTCTTGCTGAATGATGGAACACTGAAGTTGGGCGCTGGAGGCGAAGTGCTTCGCAAAATTGGCTCTGGCACCGTTGACGGCGACCACCCAGGTTCATGCCCCTCTGTGCTCGGGGACCCTGCCAGATAGGCAGATAGGCGTTTGGTCAGACTTGCCGTGGTCGGGCTCGGTGGTACGCTCGGTTGGTATACTCCAGGGACTGCCACGCCATTAGGAAGTGTAAAAGGACCACTCGGCGGAGGGACCGAAGAATACAACCGCCCGAAGCCGTTGACAGGCGGTGTTACATCCGTCTGTGTGGTCGACATCGAATTGGAACGGGACTCAGCGCCAGACTGATAAACGATCGAGCGGCGTTGAACAGATATATAGGAGCTGCGGCGGGATTGGTCGCTGAGAGCTTGATCTTTTTCGTCGGAACCTGCCGACTGATGAGGCTGTAGATAAATGTTGGAGAAGCGGTTGGGGTCTCTTTGTACCATCTGTCGGATACTCGGTTTCGGCCGCAGCTGATGCTCCATGCCCTCGTCGTAGAGGCTTTCCGAGATGTATTTTTTGCCTCCGCGGGCTTCGATCTGAGCTCTGACAGCCAGGAGCCAGGAGCTCATCTCATCGGCATTGCAGAATACGAGAAGGAAAGTGCGAGTCCATCGCCGGGAATAGGATCGATGAAATCCCAGGCGGGAAAACAAGGGCCGATGGGCATCAACTGTTGCTGCGCCGTCTTCTTCCGTACTTTGAGAGATTTGAAGCACGTAACGCTTACCAGGAATCGCATCGCTGGCAAAAGCCACTGATCGGGGGCCTACCTGCAACATCTTCTCCGGTAGTCGATCATGCTTCCCGCTTGCTGAGTATTGCAAGATATAACCGGATGTGACCAGCACATAGATCTTTTGGGACCACTCAGTCTTGCTAATAGTGTCGGAGACCGTTCGCATATGTTTCTTCTCCTTCTCTTCCTTCTTTTTCCGTTCCGCGGAAGCTTCCTCATTTGGCGGCTGGTTACCCTGAGGGTCTACATCGTTGGAGCTGTTGTTGCTCTTTGTGGTCGCCTGGATACGCAAAATGGAATCAGCAGACATAGCCGGGGCCCAGAGACACTCGTGCTTGATTGCCTGTGGATAGGCCTGAAATAGCGGAGGGGGCTTCCACCCATGATCACCAGCGACTGGTCTACTGTCGCTAAGCTTCCCCCGGGACTTCGATGCAAGTTTCGTCCGGCTCGCACCGCCCGGCGGAGATGCAATCAAGGTCGACATCGACATTGCGGTTTTGGGAGTGGCACAAACACTTGGCGATAGTGGCGTGTCTGACACGTTTACTGTCTGTGATACAGTAGTGTGCGCCTCGTCGATTTCCGCGAGCTTCGTGTCAATGTTGGACTTACGAGAGGGCTTCTCCCAGGCAAAAAGTCCGCGCAAACCCGACTTGGATGTCTGACGCTTGACCGGAGTTTGTTGTAGCGGCACCCTCTCTCCCTCGCTCTCATTTTGGTAGTCCGTGGGTCGCAGACGTTGCAATCGAGGGGCTGCAGACGGGGTCGATGCTGCATCGGGAACCGCAGATATAGTCGGGGATTGCACTGAACCGTGAGCATTCGGACGGCTGAAGTTCGTTTGCAGAGGAGCTAGTCGTTGACCTCTGCGCTCGCTGACGGATGGCTGAGGGGGCTGCTGATCTAAGCTCATCCTTCCGGAGAAAACTGGCTCTCACCCGACATCAAAACACGATCCCAAACTGATCGGTGATGATGATGCGATAGAGAAGTCGTTAATCTGAGGATACGGAGCTTCAAGGTCGCGCGTGATTCATCTGGAGAACAGTTCAACTGTGGTGGGGGTAGTGTTGCGCATGGATGTGGAAGCGAAGACTGGCATTGCAAGTGGACGCTTGTATCGACGGGTCCAGTGATGATCGCAGCCTGAAACCGAACTCACTGGTTTCAGATTATATACAGATCGAGTGTGGTTAAAGCAATTGTACAGAACGCGATTGAGTGAAGTGAAGACAAAACCGAATAGGAAAGTGGGAGAGATCGCGTGGTGGAGGCTTGGAGCGGAGACGGCAGACCCGAGTTTTGGGAGCTCACGTTTGGAGGAGAAGGACAGGTGGTAGTCTCAATTCAAGGGAAGGGCATTCAGGTGTAAGGAGTGACAGAGAAGATCGCAGTGCGATATCAAGGCAATTCATGCAACTCCATTGTGCTTCTCCTCGGGTTAGAAAGAGAGGGTTGAGGTGGAAGAAGAAAAGGAAGGGGAAAAAAGACAAAGAAAGAAAGCAAACTTGGCCCAGAACAGGGAAGCCAGATCGAGTCACAGTCAGGACTTTTCCTGTTCTGTGTGAGTGTGGTCGCTTTTTTCCCGTTAATTTTTCTTTGTCTTAATTTTAGGCTTTGATTAGCTATAAATTACAGTTAGTAGTCCAATTTTAGTCCTCTACTTGTTGAGATTGAAGTGAAGCTAAATCTGCCTGGAGGATCTGAAACAGTTGGCCCCCTATGGAGTAATACGTAGGAGCAGAATCAGGAAATGAGCTAGTCTAGATGCAAAGATACAGCATTGAGATCAGATCAATTCGGACTACGGAGTATCATCGGGAGTAATAATAATGGACAATTATTGCCAGTCGAGAATCCGAGATACTATATGCGCCATAAAGTCTATAATTGGCAATCTGCCCCTGAACAGCACTTTTGGGACAGGTCCGGTCCCACTTGGCTGGAATAGCATCATGTTTATTTACGTAGGGCTATAGTGAGAGGGGAAGAACATAGTTCCTGCTACGGAGTAGGAGTACCGAAACTCTCTTCATAATCCTGTTGTGAACCTGAACAAATCTGCGCGGCCCTTGATATATCGACAACGGGCGACCTACTCTGCAGCAGATTGTGAATAGGTTGTACAAGGTGACGGAACGCAGCAGATTGCAGCAGTCCATACTTGTTCAAGGCATGACGGACGGCGATCAACGTCAACGGATCGTCGTTCGGCACGAGTTCATATGATCGTATCACAACACTTCCAGTTTAGAGCAGCTTGACTTGATTCGGTTGAGTCGTGAAGCCACAATTGGCATACAATTGACAGGTCAATTGTTGTTTCTCGAGTATTACGCGATCCGTCCAGAATAATAAGGTACAGGAAATAGAATTCTCCTAGGCTTCGCGCTCACGCGAAGGAGTTCCCAGCAAAGTCACCGAGGGTAGCGCACACTTCTTCCCCTGCGCCTCGGCAACAGCCCCCATCAACTCCGCTCCCTCCTCACAATGCTGCGCCATTGCAATGTCTTTCGACGACAGTCCTCGCGGATTATGCGTCGTCCAATGCACATCCACACTTCCAATCCTCTGTCACCACAATTCATTAGCATGTCGCAACCTTTTCCCCATCCAGAAGGAAAAAGAACTTACAACAGTCATGGTAGGATGATGCTTCTTTATCGCGCTCTGCGACGCAACCACATTCACAAAGCTCTGCACCAACCAAACAATCAGCCTCCCTAATCTTTCGCGAAGAACAACAATAATCAGAACCCACCACAGCCTTGAAATAAGACCGAAAATAGAACGTCTTCTGGATCCCCATCCCCTCCCCATCCAACACCCACCCCTTCTCAAGCAACGGTTTCAATCCCCCCTGAACCTGCTCCGCATCCTCCCCCTGCGAGATCTGCACCTGCGTCTCCTGCTCCTGGCCCTCAGAAGCACCAGCATCAGTCGAGTAACCCGCACCCGCACCCGCCATCACAGGCGTAGGCAACCGCCTCCCCTCACGGAGCGGAGACACCGTCGTGCGGGGAGAACTCCGCGTCGGAATGGATGATGACGACGATGACAAGGACGAAGACAACCACAATGATGGATAAATGACTCTACCAGATACAACACCGGGACGAGAAATGCAAGCCCGCACCCGGCGTTGCAGGACCCCCCGCGCTGCGCCCATGCTCGAGGTACAATTTAGTCAAACCTTAAGAGGCCTTATCGTCATCACCGTCAGAACTCAGTAGTTGACATTGACAACGGGGAAATGGCAACACTCTCGCAGGACGGACCAGTCACGTGATGCGCCCACGTTAGCCTGAGCCATCATCCAACTCCACCCCCACCGAGAAGCTGCAACGTTTAGGTGACAGATGGAGCCTGCAGAACAGCCTCATCCTCACCCGAATCAGGCAGGTTTTTACGTGTACTCCATACTCCGTAAAAGTACCCCGACTCCACAAGATTAAGAGATCGCCGGATGTAACCTCCGGAATCAGCCAGCCAGATCTATCCCACAATCTCCGCAGACGGTTAACCCAAAAGTCAAGAGTCCGTGGAAGTCGCCTCCGCGATCTCTGTAGATGCGTCTGGCCTCCATTGCGGAGTCCGTGCTATCATCTTCCCGGCCATCGGTTCAATGACGTCTGATCTTTTCTTCAGGCCACCTACCTCGTACCTTGCTTTGATAGGCTATATACCTCCTTCTCATAACAGATCCATGGGGAATCCAGAGAACCTTAAACAATGTGCTTTAACTCTAATACTTACTACATGGATGGGTCCCTCCGCATCACGCCCGCATCCCCAATACCTTGATTTCTACTATTCCGCCCATCCCGCCGTGCGGCCGCGCTTGAGTCCCTTTGACAGATTACGTCGACGTGAGGCTTTACTGCTACAGATCGCTTGAAGCATCGATAGAGAAAACATCATGATTTTTTCGTATTTTTTTTACTAGCCACCTGCAGCCGAGGAGTCTCTCGCTAAGTACTTCGATCCCGCCGTCAAGACACAATCGCTAGAAAGTAAACATCCCCCTCGCTGGCAACACAAGCATAGAGAAGACAGACCACCTTTGAAATAGGAAATCTCGTAAGCCGCAGAAAGAAACAAAGCTTAAGCAACATAAAATCCCAGATACAATTAAAAGGCCATCGAAATGGTACGAAGCCGACACCTGTTTGACTCGGATGTACCGACCAGTCTCCGCCCGTTCACTCTGCAAGTGTGCAATGCAAATGAGTTCCGAGAGTCAGAGTCTGAACACACAAGCAAGGTGTAGCACTAAGGCCTTCCACCACAGACGGAGATGAAAAGAAGAAAGAGACAAGAGAAATAACACTTGCAAAGCCCGGCCCTGCTCAAGAAATGAAATGAAAATTGCTCACAGAGGCAACGAACAGAAGAGCAGCAAAGCTTACGAAGCTTACAAAGCTTACAAAGCTCCCATAAAGCGTGTTGCTGCCTGAAAACTCCGTGTCACTGTGGATCATTCCCTCCATGATTGGCATCAACGACAACGTCTCCTCAAATACCCATCGGCTCCAGGCCGCTCGGTTGTGGAGTTGTGATCATGCTCATTCTGCGAAGGAGATACTGTTTCTGCGCGACTGAGCACGAGAGCCCGCGCGAGACGGACCACGGGATGCCACATAGCTGCCCTGTCGGCTTCCAAGGGCCTGGCGGATTCGGAGATCCTGGCGAGATCTTGCAAGAGAATTTGCCCTAGAGCCAGTGGGAATTCTAGACAACTGTCGGACATTGAGGTCGACTTCGACATCGTGGCGAGCAACCGACAGCTGTTGGGCGAATGTAGAGCGCTGGCGGAGGTAAGGACCGCACCAATAGATGACATAGACGGCAACGACGAGGACGAATGAGATGCAGACTAAAGAAGGTCAAGATCAGTCTCTGTCCCTGGAATGCTGTACAAGCAGATTAAAGACTTACACAAAATCGTAGATGCGTACTCGAGATGACGCTTGCCGCCAATGTCTGTGAAACGGCCTGTCAGCTGCTGTGACCATAAGGCGGATCAGTGGACAGGACAACTTACTCTCGAAGAAAGGTGTAGCAGGAATGGTAAGAACACCAGCCAAGAAGTCTCGAGACCAGCCATTTCCACCGGTTGCCGAAGCAGAGTAAGGACCATAGGCACAGACCATGTAGTCAATTGTCGCCATGTAAATGCTGTAGTTGGCAATGCCGACAATGGCTGAGAAAACCATGGTACCAATCCAGTGGACGGGAGGACCCTGGCTGGTCCAAGCAAAACCAATCAACCCGATGGGCAGGCAAGGAGCTGTGTAAAGAAGCCACCATAGGCGAGATTCGTATTGAGCCCTTTCATCATGAGGCTTAGCGCGTCTCTCTTTGATGTTCCGTTTAATGGCTGGGAAAAAGGATATCCATGCGATGAAGTACCCAACTAGGATGGGTAAAAACGACAAGCCGAGTTCAACCGTGCCGAAGCCCCACTGCTTGTAAACAAGACCAAATGACTGGATGAACATAAAGATCAAAGCGTCGCTGAAGCCACTCAGTAAAGAGAGAGACAGGACTATGGGCTCAGTCAAGAACATCTTGAAGGGGCGGATCCAGGTGGCGAGAATTTCCCGCACTGCAAACCGCTCCCGGAACTCAAGCACCTCGTTAGGGCCCCATATATCCTCTCCATTCTTTCTTCTTCTCTTAGCAATTCTGTCCATCAATATCGTCGTGCGAGTCTCCGGAACACAGATTAGGTGAGCGAGCTGAACAGCTCCTCCGAAGATCAATTGAATCCAGATATTCCAGCGCCAAGGCAGATATTCTTCGACGAATCCACCGACGACAGGACCAATAACAGAGCCTGCAACAGAGGAAAAGACGACACACGCCACGGCGTACTGCTGATCATCTGCTTCCCATAGATCGGCAATCATTCCCAGTGTGACGGAGCCACCGGCAGAACTCAGACCACCCAGGGCTCGACCCACCATGATGGAGGCAAAGTTGGGAGCAAGAGCCACAGGAAGTTGGAAAGCATTGACGAGAAACAGACTTGCCTGGAGGATTGGCTTGCGTCCGAGTTCCTCACTCCAGGGAGCCCAGAGTTCGCAGCCAAAGGCATAAGTAACGAGGAAGATCATGGCACCGCAACGAGCAGCCTGCATACTGACTCCGTACTCTTCAGAGATGCCAGTCAAAGCATTGGAATACAGACTGGTATTGAAGTTCATGGAAGTCTGGACAAGAAAGATCACGCTGATGATGGTCCACTTTTTCCACGACGGCCAGGAGTACCCCAGCTCATCGTAACAATCCGCCTCCTTGATGACCTTGTCCGCCCTCGAAGGCACAGGCTTTTCTTCGACAGCTTCCACAGTCTCGACATTTTCAATGTCGGCAGTTGTGGGCTCTGGCTTTTCAAACGGGTCAATGCTCTGGTCCGCGTGAGTAGAGGACGAGGCCTCAGACTCGTGATGATGCGAGTTTTCTATCTCCCTGACCCTTTCAGAGGGAGGAGGCACTGCCATTTTGAGATAGCCTGCTCTGTATCTCGCGTATCAGAAACCTAAAAAGATGGTTAGAGGTGTGAACGCGTAACAACCATTAGGTAGACCATGTAAACTTACTTTAATAAGTAAGAGATCTTTGACTTAGCCAGGCTACCACAAGCAGTAGATGTAGATAGAAGAGATTATAAGCAGAGTGAACACTGAGGAGCCGACAAGAAGAGGAAAACAATGAGATAGAAGCTCTATCTCGCGAGTTAAAAAGTGGTTGTGTGAGAGAAGTAAGACTAACACTCGGCGAAGTGTTAATGTAAGCAAAGGGTTTGGGAGAGAGGAGTGCAGATCAAAAGGTGGGAGAGCACAGGAAGAAAGAAAAACAACAGTCGATGAACCGAGTAGAAGAAGTATGAATGCGGTCAACAAGAGGCGCCTCAGGCTATCTATAATATACTGTGTGGGCTGGCAGGAACCCCAGAAAGGGAAAGGACGGGGAAATACCTGATGCTACTCTACCACCCATGGACAAAGCCCACTTTGTGCCTGCACTTTACTTCCCTTCCAATGGAGAGAACCCGGGGTAAATCAGTACGGGGCTTCTCTGTTAATTTCCAAACTTTCTTTTTGTCTGCTCTAATGATCCATTCAGGTTACAGAACAGCTAAGAGCAGAATATACTCACCAACCTTTGCTGTACGTCTCTTGCAAAATCCTGTCTTTTTTCCCGCGTTTTGCCTCTGTTTCTTTACTAAAAATCATTTATCTCTTTGCAGACATGCTCGCCCCTTCCTTTGCATAATTGACTAATTTTTTCTCACGCAAAGACTGCAGCCAGAACGCTGCGCATTGAACATGGTTTGGGCCACCGACGCAGCCGGATACCGAATCAGGACCGGACATTCGAGCCCACTCGCCACGCCGTCCAGGAAGAATGTCCTTCCCCATCAGTTGCGAATAATGGGACGTCTGGGAACCTCAGGGTCCAGTCAGCGTCTGCCCCTCGTCATCTGAGCCAACGGAAAACGGCGATAGGAATCCCCACGGGCAAGTAGAAGATGGCCGCAAATGGCCATGATTTAGGGTGCTCCACTCGGAAGTTGAGTGCTAGCCCGAAGAGTACCACTACAGAGGCCGCTCTGGGCCGACAGCTTCAGGAATGCCCGTTTCGGGAAACCAAGCGGCCAAGCCATGGGACGGCGTCGAAGGAAAACCTACAGTACAGTCAATTCTGCCAGCAGGAATACTCTGCTGCAGATGATGGTCTCGTTCCCAATGGATTTCACAGAATTTACAGAGTACAGGCTGACAATGAAGAGGCTAGCAGCCCGTATCGACGCAAGGAGTCGGGATAGTTGGCCGGCCGTGCTCATGGATCATTTTTGGTGTGGCTTGCCGAGGCGGTCGGGTACTGGCGATCTTCTGAGCTTTCTTCGAGGCTTAGCCGCCAGAAATTCCCAGGATGAGTTGGGACTTGTCGGACTTCGACAAATTACGACGCGCACATTGAGACGATCAATGTTGGCGTGTGAACAATCATGATACTACCATGTTGGATACTGGAGTAATCCGAGAGATTTGTCCAATTGCAAGGGTCATCCTCGGTTTTGTGGGGGTGCTTTTTCTTCGGGGCAACCGCGTGTGACGTCAAGCCCTTTTTTTTCCCTTTTTTTCCCGTCGGCTCTTACGCAGATCGTCATTCCGAGTAGGACTTGGACTGTTTTACGACGACAACTTTAGTCATGCATTTGTATAACTAGTTGGTTTCTAACCTGATCGTGAGATGTTGTCTTACTTTCCAGAATATTTCATAGAACATTGTCAGAAGTTGACAATCCTTGTCGCCTGCATGAGTACGTATGAGGCTTTCTCCGTAACCTGGAAATGTAGTAGTATTTTTGAACACCTCGGACGTGACGTTTCAACAAGCAGATCGGATCCACTAAAGGTACATTTGTTAAAGGTAGTTAGGTAAAGACATCATACGGCATAATACGTGGCAAGGATAAGGTAATTCTGTGATTATCATACGAGATGCATAGGTGCTTTCTGATATTCCGAGTTACCTTACTCTTTCCATGCAGCGCATAGAGTCAGCATGCAACCTTTCTGAAACCCATGGGAATGTTCTCACTGTCGGTCTCAGTTTCAGATGCCCGAGATAGGCTAACTCTGCTCAGTAGAATCTATAAAATTGGTTTGCCTAACCGGCGATCCAAAGCTTACTGTCTAGGGTCAACCCAGGTTACAAGTTCCTCCTACTGTACAAGGCCCGTACGACATGACAAAATCGCTCAGTCAAGGATCGTTGCCAGGTGATCTTGGGGCGGAATTTGCAGCTTCAATCCCACTAGAAAAATCAAAGTCCATCATGAACCTGGATTAGTTTTCATCGTGTATCTATTCCACTGGGGGAGAGTCTTGACACTCCTTACTTCGTAGCCACGTTACCCCGGCCCCATCTCGCTGATCTACAAGGGCTTCACGTTTTTTCTCACCCTACTTCAACCTTAGGTTTGGAGACTGGAGAATGTTCGATCGCACCCCCCTCACATCAACATCCTTTCAAAAAAAAATTCCCCGAAACCCACGCCCACGAGGAAAGAAAGATCGGTTCCATGTCACGTGGTCCACCTTATGAGGTCCAAGTAGAAATCAGCCTGTTTCTCAAAACGGACGGATCCGAGGGCTCAAGCTTTCTGGCTGATTGGCACACTCTTGGGTGGTTGGCTGCGTGACTGGTCCGCTTGCGGGACTTGGCCCCATCAGTATTCCCAATTCAGCAGCGGAAGCCGGTATCGGCTGGAACTGTGAATTTCAGACTTCAAAGCTCACACTTACCGAATTCCTTCTAAATTCTAATGCTCCTGGTGGTTGCCCATGGGGTAGACAATAATGTCTCAGTCTCCCGGAAATATAAACTCAATGCATCAATATCACCTTAATCAGTAGTCAGCTGACAGTCGCGTTTTTCTTTTTTCCTGTCAAGCTTCCTGTCATGTATGAGTGAACTAGATGATGATACTATGATCTACGGTCGCATTGTGGCTGACTTCTAGATTTATACTCAAGAGTATATCTTATGACTATCGCCGTCACGAAGACGCCGCATTGGGCTTCTCGAAGCTCACCGCTGTCTGATCCTAGTCATGTGGCGTTCTATCGAATTGAGATAACGTCCATTGGAGCTTTCAAGTAGATCAGTTGTAACCTTCCCGCTCTCTAACGGTCTAAGTTCTGTCCCTGGTCTTCTGACTTGGAGTAGTGGTTCGCGCATGGACAAGGTTCGTGGCTGTGGCAAGATACAATCGTGTGTCGTTGAGTGTAGACACCGAAGTGATCCAGTCAAGCCTTTGAGGGTGCAACAGTATCATGTTGAGCTCATCGTTCCGGCAAACCAGAACCGACTTGTCGAGTCGAGCTTCGGCGATTTCCCCATCCTCATGAGAGGTCCCGGCTAGACTTTGGCATTGCATATCACGGCAGGTACTTCCGACTCGCATATACCAATCTCCGATAACGCTGGTAACTGACGAATTTTCTTATGCAGAAATGATCGTGTTTCCGGCCCTTGTCGGGGAAACAGTAGGTCAGCATATGCGCGTACATTCTCTTATCGGTCCTGCTCTCTCAAGTAAACAGTCTATTCCACCCAAGACACTAGGTCAAACCACAGTGCATTGCATTCTAAGCATTCTGTCTCGACGAATCCAGCCCGTAGGCCCAAGTGGTCTGGCTGAATCTGTCGAGACTGTAGGCGATGAGCATCGCTGATCTTTTTCATAGAGGTTTGGTCATCTGGCACTCGGTTAAAAACTGATCTTACTCACCTTATCTCTGAAGATCTCCGAACTTATCAGCTTCTGAGGCTCTGATATTGTGTGCTGATGCTTTGCAACGAGCGGGTTGATACGGACCATGATGTGGCTGAGATACTCAGCCCTAGCTATGTGCCCTAAAATGAAGCCAGAAATGGTCAATCTGTGGCGCAGCATGCTGAATTCAGAATAGCGTGACTGACTAACAGCTGCTGTTCTGGTTGCGGCATCATCATAACCAGAACCCATATCTAAAGCTGAGTTCAAGTGAACAGTGATTGTAATCATCATCATTAACATCATCCACATCGTCATCGTATCACATCACTCATCTTTCTTCCCGGGCTCTGCCTACCCACTCTTCAGCCCAAGGAATGCCTCCTGATCTCAATTCTCTTCCACCATCCCGTTCCCCCTCATCCCCGCGTCCACCACGGACAGTCCCCGCCTCTTCCGAATCTGTGTCAGCAGTCTCCCCTGCAGCGTCATCTACCACCATGAACAGCAATACTAATGCCACGGACTTGTCCCGTCGGTCCTCACGCGCTTCGCCTCGTACAAGGTTGTCGATTTCAGAGCAACGCCGGGCTCCCACAGGTACCAACTCAAACCTGAGCGAGACCGAAATTCCCTCAGCCGAACACCGTTCCTCCCTGAGCCATGCACTTCGCACGGCAAGTCCCACGATCGGAGGCAGCCCGATATTTGCTACAGGCGACCCGCACCACCAGCGTGCTCCGTCTCTAGGGGAGCTCCACCAGGAATTGGAGCAAGAACAAGAAGCGCAAGTGGTATGATTATCTATGCGCTATCCTCAAAATCGCAAATTGGCTTTGGATGCTGATTGGGCAATAGAACCGACTGTTGCAGATGATTCGGAGTCAACAAGCCCAACTACAACAACTCCAGCAGCAGCAGCAACAATCAGGCACCGCTGTTGAAGATTACACACCACCGTCCGAACGATCTGTCGGTGTCCCCATAATACCACCACTCCCTGCAGCTGGTAGCGGTCGGACATCCACTCAGTTCCCTTCATCCCTGTCCAGCCACCGGGCGTCGCGACCTTCCAGCCAGACTGCCTCTCCCAGTCTTCGGCCGCTACCTTCTGCTTCTCTGCATGGAACGTCGGTCGACTCGTCCCGTGGCCCCGACGGGTTGGACCTGGTAGCAGGCACCAGTGAAACCTCGTCCCGACGTGGTAGCAGGGATGAGGTGGCTTTCTACCAAGCCGAAGCATCCATGCTCAATCGCGAAAACCAGATGCTTCGGCAGCGTATACGCGAATTAGGTTCGTTTGCTGTTTTCCCTCCGTCTGTCATCTCTGCCAAGTCTCGGCATCTGTTCACCTCCCATGTATGCTCGGAGCTGAAGATCCTAATGCTAACAAAGCAAAAGAACGACATATTAGTGAGTTGACCACCTCTGGTGCCCGACCGGAGCAGAGTGCGCCACCTGCCACACAGGGGGCCGAAACCGCCGATCATCATGCATCTGCCGATGTGGGGTCGGCTACTGAGCCCACGAACAAGTCCTGATGGGGAAACACAAGGCATGGGTGCGCTGTCGGCCGTCCGCCGGCTTCTTTAACTTCCAGTTTACACTTTCTCGGCGTGTCTTATGATCCGAAATTTTTTTCGTTGTCAGTATCGGCGAACTACCAAGTTTGTGCGAGATACTCCGTATTTCTGTTCCTTTCCCGCTGACGTGCATTGATACCCTGAACTATGATTATCTGTGTATCCATTGGATGTATTTGCTGTCACCACTCAATAAAGGGCTCAAAGCACCACAAATTCCTCGCATTTCTTTCCGGTCTACCAATACTGTGTATTGGCGGTTCTTATCCTTTACTAGGGATTTTTAATTTCCAGGCAGCAGTGTCTGTCTACGCAAGCAGGTCGTCGATCGTTCTAGAGCCTCCTTGGCGAACTCTGCATACATTATTTTTTTCTTATTGCATGCAGAGCGCATACGCGGTGATCGTCGGCCAGCTACTGTAGGCATAATCAAGATCAGTTGCAATGAAAGTCAGAATCTCATATTGTCGAATAAGCTTGGCACTACGCGTTCTGTCCTCCATTTCCACGATCGGCCAATTTTACTGAATTCTCTTGCTTCCATTCATCCGGTTACTCAACCGGCGCAGGCGCCATTATCCTGATAACTCATGTCGACCATACGCCCTAGCCAAGACCTCGGAAACGCGAATTCTCCTCTCCTTGCCGAGTGCATTCCTCCGCAGCCTTAGCCTTGACCTTGACCTTTGCCTTGAGCTTCTAGACCTAGGCCCAGCAACACAGGTCGATATGCCCCGGATACACAACCCATCCGCGCTCTCTCACTCCATGCCCCATTTCCCCCAGCTTGATCAGTAAATCTCAGCCTGCTGCTCGAAAGACCGCACCACACCACAACCTGATCATTCACGAGCACCCAAATCGCTGAGCCATGGGTCTCGGCCTCGAACCCAGCCCTCTGCATATCTCGTCGCCCTTGCCGATATTAAGTCTTTAAAGCATGATGCGGTGCGAGCGTTGCGGATTCAAATCCGCATGCAGACGCAGACGCGAGTAGATAAAGATAAAGATAAAGGGACAGATAAAGCAATCTAGACCGCTGTAGAGCGTTAGCTGTAGAGCGCCGTCGGAGCCGGGGAAGTGAAATGTGTATCGTACGCTCTCCCCGTCACGGCGCGTGAAAATCCCAGAGGTGATGATGTGGCTAGTCTGCATATTGTTCGTCGGCCACCCAGGCCTAGCGCAGCTGAGTCTGCCGGTCTCTGTAGGGTTGGCTCAGCTATCGAAGGTCTGCTCGCAGGTTGGGGAGGATCAGTTCCGCGGCGCACTCGCTTTATTCTAGCATTGGGTTCTCCCTGGGCAGCCGGCTTGCCTAACGTCAATGATCGACGCTTCTACAATTGCATTGCGGATTACTGGAGCCATCCTTCAGACGGGGAAGAAAAAAAAAAGTCATGCCATTTATAGGTATAATCTAAGACTGTACAAGGAAAAATATAATTTACAGCTTGGCCTTCTCGCTCTCGGCCAGCAGGTCAGGCATCAGCAGGTCTCTCAGGTCCGTCGCCGCCTCGTTGAGATAGTAGCTCATCCGCTCGGCTCCAAGGCGCTTGCAGACAATGTTGAAGTTGAGGCTGTAGCGGTCGTTAGCAACTGAGCGAAACATAGACGGAAAAGGACAAGAGACATACCTATTCTCGTTGATCATATAAGCAATTCCGAATCCATCGTCGATGACCTGGCTCCATCCGTAGCCGTTGAAGAACTCGGAGCTCAGCTGGCTGGTCGACAGGTACCATGAACCGCTGTAAGCGTAGGCGGGGTCTTCGTACAAAGCGGGGAGCTTCTCGCCCTCGCGCAGGAGCTTCTTCAGTCCGAACAGGTGGCGGTCAACACCCTGACCATCGCTAGCCAGGGCGGTATACTTAGAGTGAGCCGAGAGGGCTGCGCGGAAGAGGCGCACGACCTCCTCGCGGGGGACGGAGGGGTCGGCCTGGGCCTTGCAGAAGGCAACGCTCTCGTCAGAGACGCTACGGATGGTCTCGGTACGACCCTCCTGGAACTTGCGGGTCGAGGCCGACTCGTATGTGGGGCGGTTCTTGCCGTACATCTTGAAGTACGCCAGCTGGATGATCATCTGCACATAAGCATCGGGGCTGCACTTGAACTTCTTGATGAGACCCTTGCCGTATCCCTGGTAAGACTGCACCTTGAGCTCGTGAGCAGACATCTGCTGACGGTGCTCCTTGGAGGCGGCGTCGATGGCCTCGAGCACCTCTGAGTTCAGGTGGAACTCGATGGGGCGGGGGTCGGGCAGGTTGGAGCGCACAGGCTTCTCGGAGAGGTCAATCTTGTTGTTGAAAATGAGGTTGTTGAGGTGATCGTTCATGCGGTGGGTGGGGCTGCCGTCCATCATGCTGTGCTCACCCATGAAACCGGCGGTGCCGTTGTCGTTGATGATGAACTGCAGGGGCTTGTCGAACCAGCGGTTGGTGCCATCTCCGTGCCAGTACTGGTGAGCCCGCTCCTCCAGCGTCACAGGGGTGGCATCGTCGAGGCAGACGACGAAGCCGCTGGACTCGATGTCGCGCAGAGCCTGCTCGTTGGCGGGGTTGGCTGCCAGCAGCTTCTTCCGAGCATCGGCCCACAGGTCACGGTTGGCGACAGTCAGAACGCCGACGGGAGGAGCACGCTGCGCGATCTGGTAGATGCGCTCAAACTGCTTCTCCAGCTCGGAGACGTTGAGACGCTCCCCGTTGACAACAAGGGGCACCTTGAAGAACTGGTTCTTGCGCACAACCACAATGTGCTCGTTCTCCTTGGCGGGGTACTTCTGTGGGTAGTCGGCGCCCTCGGCGGGGATACGGCAGCAGTTGAACATGTACTCGTACGAGCTCATGGCCATGGGCAGTTTGCGCATGTACTCGGGCTCCAGGGAGCCGTCGTCTACCTGGCGCTTGAACTCAAGAGCAGCGGTCGTGATGGACGCCGCACGCTTGACGGGGTTCCGCCGCATACGGTCATCCTTGTATGAGTAGAAGTAGGAGACGTAAGGAATGACGGGGTCCCGGTAGCCCAAGTAGGCGGCGTGGTTCCACCATTCTGTGAGCCAGTTCTTGATTTTTGGATCGGCGGCGCGGGCCAGCAATCTTTCCTGCAGAGGCTGACCCTCACCACCGGGACGGATAAAGGCCTCGACGGCCTTCTTGGTGCGCTCGTACTCGGCCTCGGAAACCACGGCGTGGACGGATTTCAGGTAACGGCGGCCGGTATCTTCTAACGAGGGGACCGGCAAGCGGGGGAGTGATTCTTCAAATCGGAGCATCTTGCCCTTGGAGAGATCTTCTACGTATCCTGCGACAAGTCAGTCCCGCCCAGTCAAGGTCTGCAAAAGGTGCGCATGTGATTAACTCACCCTCAGGGACTGAGGAAGCCTTGCGACGAGGAGCCATGATGGGAACCTGTCACACTCATTCAATTAGCTTCTCCACGCTTACTTTCCCCGGAATTCGCGAGCCTTACTGCAGCAGATCGCGCAAGGAGAGTGTTTGTAGGAGTGAGACGAGGCCGTGTGAGAGTGGTGGAGAGACGGCTTCGAGCAGAAGCCGTGAACATCCCTCTGACTGCGAGTGATACAGATGGGAAATGAAGGGGAGGAAGATTGAGGGAAAGGGTATATTTTGAGGAGCAGAAAGGAGAGAATATGGAATTATGACAAAAAGGCGAGGAAGGAGTTTGAAGTTTAAGACAGGAGAAGCCAACAGACACAACGCTCGAAAGTTGCCTCGGCTGGAGGGAATCTCGTCTCAGCCGACCGGTGGGTAACTATGGGTACTTGGTTTGGTGTGTATTACATGTATTTTACCTTGGACGGTATCGTCCGTCACCCAAACATGTGCATATCGTCATAAGGCCAAACAACAACAGGTAAAGGCGCGTGTGACCACCGGAGTCGGCCGTAGATACATTATCATACAAGGGGATAATCCACTTACTTACCTTAGGTACCTTCCTTAGATCCCTAGGTAGCATCCAATGTCTTAATCGGAGAACGGAGCACGGAGGCCAGCGTGGTCAGCTCTGGTATTTCCGAAGTAGCTCAATCATACCAAGTACGTCAGGTAACGAACAGTTTCTCCCACAGTCCCCAGACTCTCATGAGCCTCGGCCCGTTGCGGTGGAAGATGGCCGATTGACAAGCGGATGCCGCACGAATCGGAATGACGGGCACCGAAGTGTCCAGTTGCAGATGATCCCTGTGCTATATCTATGGCATTATGCCGGTGAGTACCTCTCTACTTTGGAATGATCGCAATGTTCTATCGGATCACTCGTACGGCCGTGCCGCCCGACACTCAATCCAAGGTGGAATAATGCGGGGGGGAGCTGCGAACTATACGGTACGTACTCCGTATCATGACCCTAATACAATACCAGCTGTACCTCGTTGTACACCATTAGAGATGAACGGCATTCAATAATGTTGCGTGTCACTCCAACATCATCTCCAAAGTCAACTGTAGACTGTACTAGAAACGCCCAATGTCAGACTTGCCTCTTTTCTCTCCTTGCAGGCGCTGTTTATCATTAACTTCCCTTCATCCGTCCCGCTGATCCGGCTGTCATATGCTTCTACCTGTGGCCAATCGAAATGGCCGAAGATAAAGAGGATAGAATAGACATGTGGCACGCTCGATCAGGTTTAAAGTACCGAGTTCTCTGAATCGGGCCATGATTATGTGAATGGCAGTTCACCAATTGCAACTAGGAATAGAACGTAGTCAAGAAACCCAACTCCGCGCCTCGCTAGTAGACGAAGATACAAAAAGAGAAAAAAAGGTATAGACCCAAGATCAATCAACACATAATAGCCCCCCCAAAAGATCCATCACGAACAATATCTAGGCAATACAGCAGAAAATATCCGATCTCATGGAAGACCCTCAAGAGACCGTCTGAACCGGCGTAGACGCTTCTGGCTTATCCATTGCCCTATTCTGGCGCCGCGGCACTTGAAT